AATGGGACGTGTGGCAAACCATCATGGGAAAAGAAGGGTTTGGCAGAAGGGATTTGCTCTCTTTCTATTGTCTCTCCAAACAACAACTCCTGAGGAGTCAAGGGCATCCACAAAATAGGCAGTTAAATGCAGAAATAACTGACATACTGTCAGGCCTACTCAGTCAGGTAAGGATGTCCCAGTTCCCTTCTCAGTTACTGACAGCTTTTTTGTGACCCATTTCCAGGCTCATTGAAGACAGATGAGTAGGTTTCTGTTGCTTGCCTTCAGCAATTCTGGCCTTTGCAGTGTTGCTGACTTGTTGGTTTTGCTACCAAATGTAGTGGATTTTCAAAAGTGCATTAAGTGGGGTAAATTTCTGCCCTGTGGTCAGTTGGAGACGCTGTGTGTCTTCTTTTTTTCCCCTAGCAGAGGTCAGTGGTCTTTGTTTATTATTTTCAGTGACATTACTGAATTGAGTTGGAAGCTGGGGAAACGATGTTTGTCAAGAGACTACAAGACTTGTCTTATTCTGGCCAATAAAAGCCTAAGGAGGATTTGAATCAGTCAGAAGAGTTCATGGCCAAGTGGACGGTGGCATGGTCTCTCAGGCGCCCAGGCCACCGTTTGCTCCCGCTAGATGTCTGTGGTCTTCAGAGAAGATCAGACCAAGAAGAGGGGGCTGTGGCCTTCAAGTTCCACAGGTAGGCTTCCTAGCTTTGTTGGCCACTGTGAGAACAAGGTGGTGGAGAACTAGACGGGCTTTTGCTCTCATCCAACAAGGTTCTTCTTAGATTCTTGCTTTTATTACTAAGATGAGGACAATAGCTGGTTTGGGTTCCAACCACCAGCCAAGGTAAAAATAACAAATACTTTTGTAGCACCTTAAAGACTCACACATCTCCTCCACCTCCTCCTCCTCCTCTTCCTCTTCTTCTTCTTCTTCCCCCTCCCTTCATCCAAAGAACTAATAATTCCCCGCCCTTGCCACCCAAGCATATGTATTGGAAAAAAATCCGAATGCCTGGTTGAAGAGAATCATTTGTGTTTCTTACAGCACAAGATTTTGCAGGCTACTACCTATGTCATCAGATATGTGGTTATCTTGAGTTGCAGGCATATATAGAGATGGGTGAGGATTGCGAACAGAGAAGCCAGAAGGAAATTAAAAGAAATTCATTCCTATTCTGACCATGGTGATTATATATTTAACAGTGGCCATTCATAAAAAAGTGGCGTTGATAAGATGGGCCCCTTGGCCTCCGTAAGCTACCCATACCCGTAGAATTTCTGACTGGACCTTTAACATTTCCCCTTCCTCCATGCCTCTCTACCATTTTACTCACCCTCTGCAATTCCTTGAGCTATGACATTCATTCCTCTCTCTCCAGCTCTCCCTGGGCAACACAGGCCCCAACTGTGCATGTGTGACAGCTTACCCAGTGCTTTTTTTCTGGGGCTCCGCAGGGCTATGCACACCCCTAAACATTTTGTGAATCTTTGTACTTTTGTCCATTTACTGTATTTACTTTCCCCAATTTGAACTATAAAATGGTGGTTTTATTGAGTCAAAATGAGAAGACCCCTAAACATTTTTTAAAGAAAAAAGCACTGGGTAAGACGTTCAATTACCTATGAACGTCACAAGCTAACACTGGCTGGGAAATGCCTTTTATTAAGAATTGCAAATGGGTAAAGGCCAGTGCTTGGAATGAACTGGTTTGGTTGAACAAAGTTCACTAAATGGCACGAAAAACACGTGAAAGTAGTTGCCGCACAGGCCTTTCTGGAGGTGGCATGTCCGAGTGACAAGGCCTCACATGGGCCCAAAAAATGTGAAGGTTTACAGATGAAGCATGGAAGCCAGGAGGCTCAAGGCCTCCAGCCAAATTGAAAGACAGTCCAGTATTTTGATATTACTAAGTTTGTGTCCATGACCTTATTCCAGACAGTGCCATAAGTCGGTTAAAGTTTCTTGCTATAGGGAACAACCATGAAGGTTTAGAGCAGCCATTTTGTGAAGAGCCTGCCTTTAACCTCTAATGTGGCATAAAAATAAATTTAAACAGAACTTTTAAAAATGGATAATAATTTGTCACAGAGGTCAGATCCTAGTTACCACTTTTTTTAATGGTGGCAGCGTTGGAAGGGAGAATTCAAAAGCAGCAGAAGACATCTGGGGCTTATTCATGGAAAAGGTGAACTCCCTTTTGGCATCTGTATCCGATTATTTATTTTTTTTTTTACTCTTTATTTTTTCACTTAACCAATTACCCACTTGGTAGGCATAAGATAAGTTATCTATGACTTTCACCTTCTAAGATGGTGTGTGATTTATTATTAATCATTACTATTTCTTCTTTTCTCATTTAGTTTCTTATTTTAAATTTAGTTTTTAACCTGATCAGATAATTGTAGGCATTGCCTTCTCAAAATGAAATCAAAATTCAATTAGCCAATAAGTCATTGCATTAATGTCCATTCAAGCTCCAGAATGCTGGAAACTGCAGCTGTTAAATCATACTATTTGGGCAATATGGATATGCTCTGATACCCTATGTTGAGATTAGCTCATGCTTCTCCACTACCATGTTAGTGGATGGCTGGTCAGTGGCAGAATAATGTGACCTGAAGAACCCATTGAATTTGAATTGGCATATGAGTTTCCACTGAAATCACCTACTTAAGATGGGGGAAATGGGATAGCAAGACAGAATTCTTCCAGCAGGTGATGTATGTGTCAGTGTAGTGCTACCGCTTTAGAGCAATGAGATTTGGTTGCTGAACCAGATCCTAAGCTGGCAGGAAATTCCCATTGGAGTGAATGGGACCTACAGCCAGATTTCTAAAATATTTATCTGTCTGTAAGAGGCAAGCACAGGAGACGTGGGTGGCGCTGTGGGTTAAACCACAGAGCCTAGGACTTGCCGATCAGAAGGTCGGCGGTTCGAATCCCCCGCAACGGGGGTGAGCTCCCATTGCTCGGGTCCCTGCTCCTGCCACCTAGCAGTTCGAAAGTACCTCAAAGTGCAAGTGGATAAATAGGTACCGTTTCAGCGGGAAGGTAAACGGCTTTTCCGTGCGCTGCTCTGGTTCACCAGAAGTGGCTTAGTCATGCTGGCCACATGACCCGGAAGCTGTACGCCGGCTCCCCTCGGGCCAATAAAATGAGATGAGCGCCGCAACCCCAGAGTCGCCACGACTGGACCTAATGGTCAGGGGTCCTTTACCTTTAAGAGGCAAGCACAGGTGAGCAAACCTGCATATGGTCTTCCTCTACGTGGTGCATGTACTGGCTTGCACATAACAGAACTTTCAAAGTCCCTAAATGGAATCATAGAAAGCTATGTCATGACTTCTTTTAAAATAAGCAGAAGACAAAAGAAATCAACGAAGAAGAAGAGCTTTAGAAAGCTGGCTTAGAGCAGAAAATAAAAGCTATTATTGTGACGCTTTTGAACAGCATGTTTGTAAAACATGTTTTTTGGCTTTGTCTACATCTCTGTCTGCAGGGAATTGTCAATATGTTGAAGAGCACATGAATTCAAAGTAAAAAAAAGCCTTTTCTGTATTGTGACCCCTGTTTTCATTCAGCTCCTGAATTCAGACACAAAATGCATACCTTTCACCAGTATGATTAAGAAAAGGCTAATGGAGCTTTCCTACACACTGAAGCATGAAGCATGTATAATTTAATAACGCTGATAAATCTTAAAGCCAGGAGCATTTGGTGAACACATGACCCACTTTTCAATCTATTGGAAACATTTACATAACAGCCTGATTCTCAGGCTTTCGTTTTCTAGATAGAGGAAGAAGAGACAGAAGCACAATTGAACACCTTAAACTCGACATGCCTCAAATAAATTCTGCCATTAAAGACTTAATAGAGCATTCTTGCAAGCCTTTTCTCTTTCTCCATGCACCAGGATCACTCACTGGGGGCAAAAATGGACCCACTGAAAAATAGGAATAACTACTGGTAGATCTCTGGATTGCAAACTCTTGCCCAGTCGCTGTATGAAGAATCAGTACAGCATATACCACACATAGAGAAACAAAATGGTTTGTAAATAATTGTCCCCTGTCCTCACTACAATTCCTTTGGGGATTAGAGTGATACAGTCCTTCTGCCCTTGAGTAACTTTGCAATTTGACAATCATCACACTATATTAAAATGTTTGTGGCTTCCAAACATCGCAGGCCTCTAATCTCCAGTGCTGCTGTTTTGTCCACCTACAAGGGTGGTCTTGATGCTGATGTTACCAGACCATGCTTAGATTCACTTCCCCTTTTGCAGTTCATAAGGAGGTGCCTAACAGCACAGTCCATCTAGCTGCAGCTGGTAGCTGTTCTCCAAGGGTTGGGAAAGTGAAAAAAAACCCTAGTCCTGCTGTATAGTCCTTTTAACTGGTGATGCAAGCTATTGAATCTGGGACTTAGATGCAAAGCATATGCTCTAGCACTGAGCTGTGACGGGCTTATAGGGTATGTGCTTGAGGCTGTGCATTTACATATAGTGCCCAGTGACAGCATTGCACACTGAATTTTTGCTGCTGTGGGCAACACATGTACCACCATCACAAATGTCAAAATTTCAAGCAAGTAAGCATGAAGGTCAGATCCAGTGTCTAGTGTTGGTATTATTGAGCACCTGCTGAGGCCAGTATCCGAACTGGGGAGGCACTCCCCCCCAGTGGTGCTTCTCCTCTTCCTCCTTGATGTCTCCATCTGTTCTGCTGCCCTCTATAGCCTGTGGGCAGTGATAAGGGCAAGGGAGCTTCAGCCTTCACTCGCTTGGATCTCTCTTAGGCAGTGATGGAGACTAGGGGAGGGGCATGGTGGCCGTGGCAAGGAGAAGGGGGACCGTGGAAGATGCCATGTTGCTGAAGGGCTCTGCAAAATCTTGGGTTATTTAACATGGTTCCACTTGATGTGAGAGTGGAAATAAAGTTCCACTTGAACACTCCTCAGAATCGTACATTTGGGCAAACTACTTAGAGATTGTCACACAAGCATGCAGTACTGTATATATATATATATATATTTTAAAAAAGCATAAAAACTTGTCATTATTGAATGGCTTGCAGAAGATAAGTAAGACCAACACCTAGCTAGGAAACTTCATGGCATCTAGTTTTGATGGGAATATGGGGAAATTGTTTAGCATTTTGGTAAAAGACTAGTCAAAGGAAATTGGAATCACTGTAATATAAATTTACAATCTGTGAGATGTTAAAGGGAACAAGATGTATTGTGGCTATTTAAGTGCTATTGTTTCTTTATGCAGAATTCTCCAGGATACCCATCTTAGTAAAATCATACGTATCCCAAATTATTCACAACTTGAGAGAAAAGAAGGAGGCAAATGGAAGATACAAAATATAGAGACACATCAAAGGAAAATTTGTTCTTTAGAATAACTAACAGCAGGGGCATAGAGTGGGGGTGCCAGGGGGCCGTGGACAGAGGTGCACAATTTTTGAGGGGGTGCAACCCAGGTGCCCCCATGCAGACACCCCCAGCGTGCCACGGCCTGATGTTCCTCTATGGCCACCAAGGGCTGCGTCAACAGGCCAGACTCCCCCTTGCGCAGGCGGGCAGGTGGCTTAGCGAGGCCCTCTTTGTTCCGGCGGGAGTGGGGTTACTGCAGCGAGGGCAGGGCTTGTGCCCACCCACCAGCCCTGGGCACTGGTAACGGATGCTATGCCACCGACTAGGCCTGGAACGTTCAGAGAAAGCTCTTCCCATAGATCACTATCAGTTTTCCAGGTTGTCAAATGCTGTTAAGTGTCCAAGGCTGAAAACATTTTAAATCTTATACAGCAACAAACAAAAGTAGCACTTACTTGTTCTCTTTTCAGGTGGTTTTCTCCTGTGGAGTCACTTTTTCCTTGGGTCTCCTAATATCAGACTGTTTCCCATCCCACCATAGAAGATGGAATCTAAAGTTTCTGAAGGTGGCCTGAATGTGACTCTCACCATCCGACTGCTGATGCACGGAAAGGTGAGCGGGGACCGTGTGCTTCCTTAAAACAACCGTCTGATTCAGGCCCAGCAACCAGTGATGATTTACTTGCCTAGATGCAAATGCTAAGATTGTGTGTCCATGTCACATATATTAGTTTAGTTCTCTGACAAATATGTGATTCATAACACAACAAACCTGGGAAACTGTTTAATTGGGGAAGTTATTGTTGTCCACCACTATCAGCTGAAGATCATGATAGCTGGCTTTTTTTGAGATAGAGGCTCCCAACCAAAATCTCCCAGAGTTCAGACTTTATAGAGTTCTTGAAATAGTGCCCCAACCCTTCTATATCATCCGGTTCCCCATGGCCAAGGTCCTTCTGTAACGCCTAAAGGTAAAAAGGTAAAGGTACCCCTGCCCGTACGGGCCAGTCTTGCCAGACTCTGGGGTTGTGCGCCCATCTCACTCAAGAGGCCGGGGGCCAGCGCTGTCCAGAGACACTTCCGGGTCACGTGGCCAGCGTGACGAATCTACTCTGGCGAGCCAGAGCCGCACACGGAAACGCCATTTACCTTCCCGCTAGTAAGCGGTCCCTATTTATCTACTTGCACCCGAGGGTGCTTTCGAACTGCTAGGTTGGCAGGCGCTGGGACCGAACAACGGGAGCGCACCCTGCCGCGGGGATTCGAACCGCCAACCTTTCGATCGGCAAGCCCTAGGCGTTGAGGCTTTTACCCACAGCGCCACCCGCGTCCCCCTTCTGTAACGCCTACTTGCAAGCAAAGTTTCTTTCTAATGCTAATTGAAAGCTTCAGGGGATTAGTGGTGAAAAGTCTCTGATTTTGTCCTTCAACATCCTCACTGAAGGGTCCCAAAGCAACTTTCTCTGCTCAGGTGGTGATGGTGAGGCTTTACTTACTGATTGCCTTTCAGTTTGTTTTCTTTCAGTAGCAGCATTTCCCCAACAAGAGCCAAAAATAAAAAGATATGCAGGGGGAACGGTATTTAAAAGTGCCCCCCCCCGTCCACCATTGGAAAAAGATGCTGGCCTTGAGGCAATTGTGGGGGAGGGGTTTAAAACTGGGTTTTCTATATAGTTCAGATATCAGCATAGAACACAAAATATGTACTGTACAAATGTTATGAAATATAATAATGACCTGTGATCAAGACATCATTAAAGGTATTAAATATACATGTAATATCAATCAAAGAGTGGGGTCAGATACAAAAATGATTTTTAAAAAGCTTTTGGGGGAAATCAATCATGTTTCTGTTTTATTCACAGAGCTTGTGGGAGCACTCAGTCCATGTTGTTTGCCTGATAGTCTTGGCTATTTCTTGAGTTCCAGTTATCCAGTTACTATATTTTTTATAAGTTCCAATAAAGGTTTATTTGGCTGGTACTCTAGTCTAGCAATGTTCTTATTATTTACAAAAGAAAGCATATTGGCAATTTTACCAGAGGCTGAATATGCCAGTGGTTCCCAACCTTTTTTTGGCCATGCCCCACCTAAGCATCTCTAAAATCCTGATCTCCTACCCCCCTGTGACATATAATTCTTGTTATTCAAAAAGTGAACTATTCACATGGAGAAAGCCTAAAAGGCCATTAACTGTTAACAACTCATTCTCAAATTGCCCCCCCCCCAAAAAAAATCAAATTGCCCCCCTGTGGGGCGTGAGCACCACGTTGGGAACCACAGGTCTATGTTAACCTTCCAGCCTGAATCAATGGGCTGAAATGTTCAGCCTGAAGCTTTGGAAGCCCTAAAGAGCTCTTTGCATATCCCCACCAGAGAGACCGCTACGCATCCACTTCTGTGTGCTCCTCACCTGAGTGCAACTGGGCCATTTTGTATTTGGTGGACAGACAATACAAACAGCCCTGTTCAGAGTACCAGTTTCCCCGCAGAGCGTGTGAGGGATTGCCTCAGATACTGTAATGGCAGTACTTACACTGGGCTTCAAAACAAACAAAAACTTAATAGAGCGATCTGTTTTTCCCTCTTCTGCAAACCAACCCTACAATTTTATGTTCTTATGATTGTCCTCCACTAGAAATGGTCACAGGCTGGATGCACATCCTGTGTGCTAGGAAAAAAGAAAGTAACACAAAAACACTTTTTGCTTAATATTGTGCTTAATATCGCTTTTTAATATTGCACTTAATATTGCTTTTTTAAAAGCCCTGAAGTACACATTAAGCAACTGATTTTCAAAGGATGGTGGAAATTATTTTAAAAACTGCCATTCAGGTGAATTAGACATTTTCTTTCCGCATGCACAGATCTAGGCCACTCCAACTAGAAAGAATATAGCAGCATAATAAATACAATATCCCAAATAGGGTGCAAAGTCCATTGCATCCTTCAGAGGAAGAGCAGTGACTGGGTTGCACCAAGAGCTCTCCGTCGGGAAGATACCCTCTGCGGCCCATATCATTTAATTAATTTCCATCTCAGCCAAGTATGTTTATTAATGAACGTTCTTGAATTCTTACTTTGTTGCCATTTTTCTTTTAAAACAGGAAGTTGGAAGCATCATTGGGAAGGTAATTTCTTCAAACTATGCATCTTAATGCTTCAATATTGCCTATGTTTACAAAATGCACATGTGGGAGGGAAATGCCCCTTTCCCAGCTGATTTTTTAGTACAAACAAGCTGTAGTGTGTGGTTTGGTGGAATGAGATGTGTTTACTCACTTTAGATTTCTAGGTATGCCTCCAGAATTTACTACCAGTAAATTCTTTAATAGGACTACAAATAATAATCTCCATTTATGTGAAAGAGGCCAGATGGCACGCTATACTCTGCCATTTGTACAGTTCACCTACAAACAGATTCCTCTGTTAATTTAATAATTTGCTAGAAGGTCCATCAGGTAATTTCAAAATTAGATGGTTGCTGGCTGATGCAGACAAGTTTGTTACCTATAAGGTAGCTTTAGATGTCCTAGCAGTGAGAAAGCTGCAGGCTTCTTTTTTGATCCCCAACAGTATTGACTGCCAAGGGGATTAAAAAACATGATTTACTGTTTCAAGTTTTGACAACTTGTATATGTTTAGCTTACTTTTCAGTTGTCTTGTTTGTTTTTATGAGTTACATTACAATGGCCATTGACTGCAAATAATAAAAATCTGACTGGCTGACTAAAATGGGACAAGCGATTCAGCTGCCCTGAACTTTCTTAAGATGCACCTTCTATATTATTATTATTTATTGAATTTATCTACCGCCCTATACCCAGGGGTCTCAACCATCTACCTCAACCACCCCCTAGATATCCTTAGGTGCAAGGCAGATAGAGTGTGCCTTACGTAATGGGGAAAACCACGTCTTTCATTTTATGATTATTAAACATAAACATTTATTTCAAAAATCAAAACATCATTCTTCCCCTGAAAATGGTGCTATACTTTTGTCACTCTCAGTTGTTAAAGGATGCTTCCACACTAGCCAGATATTCTCTTTTAGCCAGAGCTTGAGCTACAGTACCAAATAGAGAAGATTAAAAAAGGGGCAAAAGAAAAGACAGAAACAATTATTAGTCGTATTCTATATTTATTTATGCCCTTCCCTTTTCTCTGATGGGACTCAAGGCAACTTACAGCTAAAAACAAGAACCACTAAAAACATAGGAAAAACCAATAATTAAAATACAATTAAACATTAATAGAATTAAAACGATATACATATATAAAATCTGTTTAAAACATACCAATAATTGCAATAAAAAACAGCTCAAGACCAGTCCTTTCATTAAAAGCCTGTTGGAACAAGAAAGTCTTCACCTGCTGGAGGAGATCTCTGAATGAGGAGGGGCCATATAAAAATTTAATAAAAATACATACATGAAATGAAATGAAATAATTCCCCATCTGGAAGCCCTCACACACAAATGCCAGTTGTTGCTATGACCACATCTGGAATATATTTAGAAGATATTTCAAAATGGACTTCAAACATGGCAAGAGATGGGTCCTATATTCTCTCCTCCTTCTGCCACAGTGGTAACTTCTGAAGGTGTGGATGTACCAAGATGTGGAACAGGGTGTTTCTGTTTCTTACTGAGCACCTCAAGAGGAAGGTGTGATTACAAGAGCTATGGGAGAGGCGGAGAGAGACAGACCCAGCTTTAAAAAAGCTGTGATTACTTTCTACAAATCTATCTGGTGCCTTAATAGAGTGGGGTCAGGGAAGAGCTGTCGGGTGCCTTAGTCCAAAAACAGCTGAGCTGTCCATTAATAAATGTAGCGGCAAAGGATTTGTCTTTAACAGAGCCGAATTCTAAAATTTTCCTCAGTCTACAGGGCAAACAAGTTCACTAGATTTTTGATATAGGGTGGTTATGTGCATCAACTGTGCGTTTTACCAGTGTTGTTCCCTGGATACAGGGGGAGGAATTCACCGTTCCACCAGGGCAAGCATTTCGGCTTGCCAGATGGAAGGCTCTCCCTCTCCTTCTTCCCCCGCAGGCTGTTCCAGGAGTTCTCCCAGCCTCCTGAGCCAATTTTGAATGGAGGGGAAATCCTGTTACACAAGCAGCCGTCCTTGTGCAGGCCTTCTGCCGATAGGACTCGTTAGTTAAATCCCTCCAATAATAAGGCAGACATGCTAAAATCCTTTATGGCATGTCTGTTAAATTTGTCTCAAAAGTGTTGATATGATTATAGCAGTTATTTTGCATCTTTTTCAGAAAGGAGAAACAGTGAAAAAGATGCGCGAGGAGGTAAGTGCCCTTCATGGTGATGCTGCAACTTAATATGTAAACTAGTATGATGATTTCAGAAGTGCAAGATCACAGGTAAAAAGGGCCATATGTTTTTGTGTGGTTGAGGGGGTTAAGTTTCTTTTTTTTTCTTTCTTTTTTTTAATTAATATTTTTATTAAGTACAAATTAGAAAACATACATATTCACAACAAAAGAAAATACAAAAGAAAAAGAAAATACATCTAACCAAGGAAAAAGAATTAGAGAATATTTTGTCTCTTTTCATATTTACAGTTATTTATACCTCTATAAAATGCTATCCACAATAAAGCAGTGAAATGAAAGATATCAGAAAAAGAAAAAAAGAACAAAGAAAGAATAAAGAAGTAAAAGAAAAAGATCATAAGTGAAAAATTTTAAAAGTAGATAAGTACTCACAATACATAGCCGTTTCCCATCTATATTTATATTCAATTATATAATTTCATCTTGTCCTTATCTACCTTAAATAAATTGTTGTTGTTGTTTTTTAAAAAAGACTTCCACCGTTTACCTCACACGTTTTTAATAATCCGTTCATCAGAACCTCTGTTCTTCATATTTTTCCTTTGGATTTCCTAATGTCTCACTTTGTATTTTTTATATTACACACAAGATTATTTAAGTTAAGTTTCTTTTCATTAGTACAGTGGTGCCCCGCAAGACGAATGCCTTGCAAGACGAAAAACCCACTAGACGAAAGGGTTTTCCGTTTTTCAATGCGCTTCGCAAGACGATTTTCCCTATCGGCTTGCTTCGCAAGACGGAAACGTCTTGTGACTCTTGCGATTTTTTTCACTCCCCCCCCTTTTTCTAAGCCGCTAAGCCGCTAATAGCCTTTTAGCCACTAAGCCGCTAAGCCTTTAATAGCCGCTAATAGCCTTTTAGCCGCTAAGCCGCTAAGCCTTTAATAGCCGCTAAACCGCTAATAGCGCTAATCCGCTAAGCCGCTAATACGGTGCTTCGCAAGACGAAAAAACCGCTAGACGAAGAGACTCGCGGAACGGATTATTTTCGTCTTGCGAGGCACCACTGTAATATGTTGGAACATTCTGGAACAGAATGTAGGAACATCCTGCATAGCTCTCACAAATGACAGCTGAAGGAGGGGTCATGCTTTCCTGTGACATATGCCCAGTGCAGACAACTATAGCCCAGAGATACACAACAATCTTGTAGGGCAGAGCTTTCCAAATTTTTCATGTTGATGACACACTTTTTAGACATGCATCTTTTCATGACATGGTAATTCAGTTTTACTAGAAAACCGGAGGTTAAACTAACCCCTTTTCACCTCCAGAAGGAACGCAGGGAGCGTTCATGCAACACATCTACACACTGCGGCTGACACACTAACATGTCACAACACAGAGTTTGGAAAACTCTGCTATAGGGCATGTATTGCTCGTAAGATGTTCTGTTTGGGGGGGGGGTTCACACATGGTTTTACAGATATTTTTCTTATATCCAAGGTAAGATATGAGTAGACATTACACGAGTAAATATAACTAAGCAGATTATCTGAAGAAATATAACTAAGCAGGTATCTGAAGAAGTGTGCATGCACACGAAAGCTTATACCCAGAACAAACTTAGTTGGTCTCTAAGGTGCTACTGGACATTTTTTTAATTTTTTAATTTATTTAAGCAGATTAGCTTTGACATCATGTGTACTTCACATGTGTTGATTTTATAAATATGTGGTGCAAATAATATATCATATCTAATTACTATATGTATGACGAAGTGTGGTCCTTCCATTCTAGAGTGGTGCACGAATCAATATTTCTGAGGGAAATTGTCCAGAGAGAATTGTCACCATAACAGGCCCCACTGATGCCATCTTCAAGGCTTTCGCCATGATTGCTTACAAATTTGAGGAGGTAAGCAAATTATTTAATAATTTTACAAAAAGTTAATAGATAGGCACCTTATTGATGAAATGTCTTCACAAAACTGCCCATCAGCCCAGGAGCGAATGCAGACCTTCTAGCTGGAAAAGAAGCCCCACTCTCACCTGACAGGACGGAGGCAGCCGCCTTGGGTGGTAGAATCCAAGGGGCACCAACGCAGGTTCCACTGACAACTGCAGTGAAGGCTTCCAGGTTTCAGGGAGGTCTTGTGAAAGCCCTGTGAAATCTCATGCAACCTTGCAAGATTCCACAGGGCTCTTTCAAGATCCTGCCATAACCCAGAAGCTGCCACTATGCGACCCTGGTAAGTGAGACTTGGTGGGGGGTGGCAAGTGGCAGGCACACAGGGCAGCACTTTCCCATTTTGCCTCAGGCAGTGAAAGGGGACATGTGGCACCTTCTTACAGGCATCCCTGGCAAGGTATGTTGTGCTTCTCAATCCAGTTTGCAAATGGTATGGACTGATTTCTTTAGGAGGCTGGCTATACAAAATATAGTTGAGGTGAAAGGAGGTTACATTTTGTTTAGTTCTCTAATCTTCTAGTTCTATGGTATTGTGCTAAGTGTATAGCAGTTACAATCTACAATAATAATACAGTGGTACCTCAAGTTACATACGCTTCAGGTTACATACGCTTCATGTTACAGACTCTGCTAACCCAGAAATAGTGCTTCAGGTTAAGAACTTTGCTTCAGGATGAGAACAGAAATCGGGCTCCGGTGGCACGGCAGCAGCAGGAGGCCCCATTAGCTAAAGTGGTGCCTCAGGTTAAGAACAGTTTCAGGTTAAATACGGACCTCCGGAACGAATTAAGTACTTAACCTGAGGTACCACTGTAAACTTATTCTTAAATCAGGAGATTCAAGCAATTATTCTTCCTTGTGTGCAGGCATGCTTTCTTGCCTTCTCAACTTAGCAGGAATAGAACAATTCTGTTTATTCACTCACAGGCTCATCAAAATGCATTGTCATCTGCATCATAAGGCATTTTCTTTCTTTCTGTTCAAAGGATATAATCAACTCAATGAGCAACAGTACAGCTACCAGTAAGCCACCCGTAACGTTAAGGTTGGTCGTGCCAGCAAGCCAGTGTGGGTCACTGATTGGAAAAGGAGGCTCCAAGATTAAGGAAATCAGGGAGGTAAGCAGAGACAGGCTTTGTAGGGTGGCTGGTGGAAAGTCTGGTTATGCAGATTCTCCCATTTAATTCAGCTTTGGGGATTTGTTGTTGTTGTTGTTTTTGCATGGGGGGATGGGAAGGTAAAAATACTCCCTGATCTTCGGGATTAGGACAATCTTTTAAAAAGAAAAAAAGGGGGGGGGAAATAGTGGGGTGGGACTTACCATAAAAGATTTGAGGCAGCAAATTTGTTTTCTGCTTTTTCTTTTTTTAAACAACATTTCCATTGGGCCATTTTTAATATCAGAGATCTAATATTGTTCCTTATTTTTTTTATCTTGCCTGTGCAGGCAGAAAACAATGAGGGGATAATTAGCAAAGTGAATGGGGAATTGGATTTCACTTCTTGATCCACACATGAATTCCCTGTCAAATTTTAGGTGCTTGCACAAGACTAACAAGCTGTCTGTCTATATTTACTTGTTTTCTCTTCTTCTCTCCCTACCTACCTTCCTGCTCTTCTCCAGTCTACAGGTGCTCAGGTTCAAGTGGCGGGGGACATGCTGCCCAACTCTACAGAAAGGGCAGTGACCATTTCAGGGACCCCCGATGCTATTATCCAATGTGTCAAACAGATCTGTGTGGTGATGCTGGAGGTACAGTCTGTAACAATGGGGGTAAAGTATACAGAAAAAAACCAACAACTGAAAACTTGGACAATGTACCTTTCTTGTAATTCAGTTACTGTTTGGTATTGTTATGGCTTCTTGCTTGCTAAAGCATTCAACTAATTATGGTTTTAAGGCATCTGCAGATTACATGAATGATTTCAAAAGGACTTGAAGCAAAATAATCAGCCTCCTATAAAGACATTGGCCACAAAGCAAAGTAGCCAGTCTAGTTTCTTGCCTGTTCATTGGATACAAAGTGGAGCATATCATGAGGAATGTATAAAAGATGGAATGGAACACTCCAATGGTACTTTAATTAAATAATAATAATTCTCCAGAAAACCAAAAGTAACAGAGGAGCAAGCAGAGAAATAGTAGATTAATAAGGTCATCACATGGGACGCGGGTGGCACATGGGACGCGGGTGGCGCTGTGGGTAAAAGTCTCAGCGCCTAGGGCTTGCCGATCGAAAGGTTGGCGGTTCGAATCCCCGCAGCGGGGTGCGCTCCCGTTGCTCAGTCCCAGCTCCTGCCAACCTAGCAGTTCGAAAGCACCCCCGGGTGCAAGTAGATAAATAGGGACCGCTTACTAGCGGGAAGGTAAACGGCGTTTCCGTGTGCGGCTCTGGCTCGCCAGAGCAGCGATGTCACGCTAGCCACGTGACCCGGAAGTCCCCCGGCCTCTTGAGTGAGATGGGCGCACAACCCTAGAGTCTGTCAAGACTGGCCCGTACGGGCAGGGGTACCTTTACCTTAACCTTTAAGGTCATCACTGCTATTCTTCTAATTCAGGGTGGTCCAACTTTTCATACCAAGTGGGTCGCAAGAGTACTTTGACATGGAACCTGCAGGCTGCACACTCCCATATCGTGGGGGGCGCAGAAGAGAGTGAGCCCAAAATGTGATGCACCCCCAGCCCTTATTCTGCCTTCCAAAAGGTGGATAAATGAGGCATCAGGCTTTGGGACGGAGGCACAAGGCTCTGGCAGAGTCCTAGAGCCCTCCTACAATCTTCCCAAAGCTGGGAAAGCGCTAGCTAGGATTTACGATGGAGCTGGACAGGCCTACAGGAATTCTAGGCGTGTATGGAACACAGGTATACCACCTAAAACTCCTTGAAATCACAATGGTCTTCTGTCATATTCTAGTACAACCTACCACCTTTACCTTACACCCTAACACACAAAAGTTAGTTCAAACAGTGGAATAGGGTTGCGAAATGCAGAATAGGCATAGATTACATTGCAGTAGTCCTCAAATTTTGAGGTAGTGAAGGCATGCTAAGTTCCCATCTTATATTAGACAGAGTGCAGCTCTTCCAGGTGGACCTGCCATGGATGTGAAAGAGCTGTGAAAATGAATCAAAAATGAATCAAGCTTTAGGAAATTTAATTTCTAAGAACAGGTGTAGAAGCCAAACCTGTGAACCAGAATTCCCTGATTCAAATCTTACCTCAGTTTTGAATTCACCAGATGGGTTTAAAAGTGATGATTTTGTAGGTTTGTTGGAAGGATTCCTAAGACGAGGTATGTGAGATACTTTGAACACTCTAAAGCAATGTATAAATTCTAATTATTATTTATGGTAGAACCATTTTTTTTCTGTTAAGTGATTATTTAGCTACTCTGTTGTCTGGAAATGGGGCACGGTAGATTCATACCTCACATCGTAGATCCACGTGCAGATCATGGTTTGATCTTTATGTGCTTGGTTGCTCTCTAACATTCTTTTTACTAACATTTCAGGAAATCTGGTCTAATGTTCTCTCTCCCTCTCCTTGTCCCTTTTCCTAGTCCCCACCGAAAGGTGCCACCATTCCCTATCGCCCAAAGCCCGCCTCCACCCCTGTCATTTTTGCAGGTGGTCAGGTAAGAGCCGACCCGCTTGCGGCCTCCACTGCCAACCTCAGCCTTTTACTGCAGCACCAGCCGCTGCCCGTTAGTGCTCTCAGGTTTTCTTGTCTTTTCACTTGCATGATGTCATCCCACTCATGTTGCACCAAAGCACTTGGACTCAAAGCTCTTTATTGAACACAGGGTGTAGCTGCTTCGTCCTCCAGATAAGAGGCATGAAAGCCATTTAGCACAGCTAAAGCTAATAGACAGTGGCTTCTGGTTCAAACAATACTCTCTACTGATCTCCTCCTTAAGCACAACATTGGAAAAGAGAATGAAGCTTCCTCTCCTGCTCTGTAGCCACTCTTGAGTGGGATCTTTGAATAGGGTGTATGTGTCCATTAACACGGATGGGACAGCAGGAATGATAGCTCATTAGGAGTGGGGTAGTTAGACAGTTACTGAATCTCTAAGCCACCCTATAACAAAAGTTATAAGGTAAAATCATGGGCATCACATTTGATTTTGTTCATTAACACCACACCCCAATGTGAGTGTCTAGTGGCTTGAGACAAGCATGTTAGGTGCATGGGAAAGCATGTTTTTCCTGACATGAACAGGAGAACAAACCCTGGAGGACAAGATCCTCAATAAGGACGCATTTTAATGTGCTTTGCCCGCGGGGTGTGCTTGCAAGTGCTTTGACTTGCATAGTTGTTCATTTTGTCCTGCAATTTTTGAGCATAGGCTTATTTTAAGAATTTCAGTGCTCACAAAATCACAAAGATTACACAGAAGCGCATTAAAGAGTTCAAAAAGCAGATTTAAAAATAAGAGAAATGAGATCAAACATAAAGCATATCTCAACAGAACTCTAAATGTTTCTGTGCTAAATAGTATTGAATAGCCATGTTTGAGCAATAAATGCAAATTTGATAAGCTTCAAAAGACATTCCAAGTGCACAGGGGTCTGTTTGGAATTTTTGTCTCTTCATTATTTAACTAATTTCAGTACAATTACTCGGTTTTCTCCAGGGCCATTTTATATTAGCATCTAATTGAAATATTTTTTCTCATTGTGACAGAGTCCAAAAATGGTACTCACAATGAAAAAGCAATGCAATAGATTAAAATAAACTAATCATGTGTTTTTAGTCTCCAAATCTTGACATTAAACTCAGGCTGTAAATTAATGGAACCAAATAACACATTACACTGGACATCCTTCTGCAAAAAGCTTTCACAAGGGAGACTGATTTGAGAGATTCAGCTCACAAAAAAATGTGCCAGGTTGTTTTTCCTTGCACTTTGAGAGGTGGGATTTAAGTTGGGTGGTTAGCAAAGGATGAAGGCACTTCCCTGTGCCATGAACCCAGTCCAAATCACACCACCACCTCTGGGCTACTTTTTGAAGAAGAAAATTATGTGGGAAATTCCAGCTACAGAATTCCAACATACCATGCAGTTTGGCTCTGTAAAAGAACCAGTTCATTTTTGTATCATACTTGATATTTTAGCAGACAAAATAAAAATCATAAGCGTATGCTTATTTAATGGATAAGAGTCCACCAAAATCATAACCAGTGCTATTGATTGTAAGAAAAGTATGGAACCACATGATGCAAACACATAAATTCACAGCAAGATTAGAAATAATTAAATGTTTTATAAGCATATTCTTGCAAGTTGCCAAGTAGTAAAACTGGAAAATTCATGTTGTTCCTCCCATTTGAGTTAATGAACAGCATTTGCATACTCATACCTCACCAACTAAATAAATCTCTGCAGATTTTATCTACCTAGATATTGTGCCTGACCACAAATGTTACCTCTGTTCTGTGCATTCGTGCTGATTTTTTGGGAGGATAAAAATGCCATAATGGCCCCTAACACTTCTTTATCACTCTTTACCCAGTATTTGATCCATGATGCCTTTTCTCTAAACTAGCAACCTAATGAAAGAGCTTTGGGTCCAGCTTATGCTTCTCAAAAGGGAGAGTAAGACAGAAGGAACACTGCCAAATCATACTAAGAAATAAAGTGTTTGGGATCCTCATCTGTTGATCTGTTATGAAGGCTAGGGAGGCCCAAGCAATAGCAGCCTGCTTCTTTGTCAGCGCTACCAAGACATTTAACAATACAATTCAGTACAAAATAGAATAAAAAACAATGCACTAAAGTATAGGATGGAAGCAAATGGGTGTTGGCATCCACCCAGCAAAGAAAAAGGAGGTGATTTTTAATTGCAGCCCCATCTCCTAATTCTCCTAATACTTCTGCAGGACTCCTAATGGGTGTGTGGGTGTGTTGCAGGGTGCTAAGAGGGGGCTAGAAATTGCTGAGAATTGCTTCCCTCCTCGCCTGTTCCGCTGACAGATGCCCGCAGACACTCATAGCTCACATCACAATTCAACATCTGGCAAAACAAAAGCATGGCAAAAACAAAATCAAATTCAGTGTTTGGCACATGAGAACAGTAGCTCCTAACATAGAAAGGTAGGTGCCTTGTGCAACCCTTTCCCGATGTCTTCTGTGGAAATACCTTATTGCTAAATCCTCAGATCTCACAAATTACTTTTTTGGTGTCATCCAAATTGAACAGCAACCCATTTTAGAAGGCATTCTATGTTTCCTTATATACACAAAAATGGCATATGCATTTGGGTGCGTATTGGGGATTGATTGTTTTAGTATATCATACTTTGATCTGAACTGCAGAACAACCAGCATTGGAGCTACGGTGGTAAAAGCTGGCTTCTCCTTTCAGTCAAGCTTCCAGGAGATTTGATTTCCAAGTCAGGCTTAGGCAAACTTTGCCAGTATCACTAACAAATATTTGGGAATGTGTACATTTAAGGGTGTATTAAAATGAGGGGAAACGTTTAAATTAAAAGGGGGGAAACCAGTTGATTTGGAAATCAATATCCGGCAGCGTTTCCAACCCAAGTCTCAAGCACTGCTCAGTTCTTTTCAGCCTCCATTTCTGACTCTAATTTGAGGATTTCCTCTTTCTCAAACTTTTACTTCTTAAATCCAGTTCCTTTTTTTCAAAGAGCTAGATATCTATTTTCCTTTGCTGTTATTACTCTCCCTTTGCAAGTGGTTGTCCATTTTTATCCCATTTATATTGGAATTGTCTTTAAATCACTTTAACTTATAAGAAATGCCTTCCTGAACAATAAGCTTCTTTGGCAGAAAGACATCTTTAGCTGTAGTTATTTATACAGTGTGTTGTTCATTTCCATTATATTCAAGAAACAGAAAAGGGTTTATTTTAGGGCAACTGCAAAACTTTATTTAGAAATTCTTGATATAAAACAAGGCAGACTCTTAAGGTTGTATCCAGTGAAATTATTCCATTAGCTCAGGCACTACTGCCTGTGGATCAGGACTTCCTTTCCCTGTGTGCCCTCAACCCTCTAAAGCAGATTTGGGGGGACACATGGGGAGTGAGGGACGCCAACATTAGTCCTAGTGCTAATAGGATGATTTTGTTGGAGACAGCCCTCAGATTAAGAGATTAATATACACTTCTGAACCAAGAGCCTGGCTCACTCATAAAAATTACAGATGTGCATTTGTGTTGTCTCTAGTTTAGGATCATGTAAAATACATGTGTGTAGAAAATGGGCTAATATTGCATATTTATAAACCAACTACGTGGAAGAGGAATTGTTCTTCTTCAGGATGTGAGACTGGGATTTTGCATCATCTGTGCACAGGCTAAGGAACTGTATAGCATTACAGACTCCTTAGCAGCTGACATGTCCCATTCTAGGCTATGGTCTTATGGAATTCTAGTGGAGTAGTTGTGACAAATTAATGTGAATTTTAGATTGGGTGCTTTGCTTTGATGTGGCACATTTTGGTGTGTTCTCCTAGCAGCAGTCATGTTTGAGCAAGCTTCAGAAGGTGAATATTTGAGATCTAAGATCATGGCTTTTGAGAGGAGCTACTGGAAAATGTTGGACATGGGGATATTTAGCCCAGCCATAAACTCATGGGGGGGTGTGTTGCTCCTGTCTCTAACAACTAACAAGGGCAAATGACTTGAAGTGGGCCATTAATACAACAAGGGGCTTGTAGCCCAACTTCAAAAATTCCATTCATGCAGTAAACACAGCGTGTAACAGAAATGCACAAGAAATATTAGAGCTGTTGTTGTAAACTACTTGCAAACTACGTGGCCAAGCTACGTTGTCCACAAGAATGTATGGCAGCCTGCAAGGAATGAAGTAACCCTAATATTGCCAAACCAGGGGATTGTGCAACTGAAAGGCCACACTGCAAAGCTTGGGGGCTTCTCCAGCTTGGGGGGTCAGAAGTTCTGTTAGACAGGAATAGGCACAGGTCACTGCTCAGAACTTGTGCTCCCCTTGATCCATTCTGAAGTGATCTTAGCAATGCAAATTTTTTATTTTGAGTAGGAATGAATGTGGGGGAGGATGATTGAGGTCACAGCCATTAGTTCTGCCCCAATACTTCTTGCATTTGCACAGAAGTCTCTGCATGTACACCTGAATGTGTGTACGCTTTCTACATGTGAACCCTGGGGGAAAATAAGGGCTTGGACCACCTGCAAAAGACACTCTGATGGACCTATGGGTATAGAGTGGTATATCATAATAATAATAATAATAATAATAATAATAATAATAGTCATTTCTACCCAGAATAAATACTTGGACAGGATGTCAATTCACAGACGCAGTTCCTGTGATGATCTGCTGTGTCTTATCATTGGTGTCTTGAGGCAGTAATATTGGATAGACCTCTAAGAATGAAGAGATGAAATATGCACCTAATCTGTGCAATGTAATTGTCACACCAAACAGCAGCTTTTGATGCAGGATGTCTTAGGGTTAATTCAGCAGCAGATATGGGGGTAGAGTGGATTAGAGGCAAAAAAGAGAGAGATAGTAAAGTTGTCACCAGGTGGTTTTTCTTATTATGCAATGGTCACTGGAACATGTTGAGATGCCACAGACAAATGAGAAGACTGAAACTCACCATGTGGTGGCCCAATTCACATTTCCTCAGTTGAGACATTCTGTAGTAGCTCTCAATCTTCTTGCACATCTGTGTTGTTTCAGAGCATTCAAAACTGACAGAAGTGGACTCACCTGTAGTGGCCTTTGTGTATCAGCATATGTGTGTCAAACTCTGAATTAATTGTTCAGTCTCCTTAACCACAGCTTAATCTTTGTCCATATGTGGCCCGCTCCCTGGTACACATTTGGTCTGAGTAAACCAGTTCCACAGATATTATACCATGCAGAATGCCAGTTCTGCAGTTATAAATAAGGCTGAATTTGACATTCCATATTGAACACTAGTGGAAGTTTTAAGTTTTATGACATTCTTTGATAATGAAGGCTCAAGAGCCCTTACAGTGGGTAACCTAGTTACAGATAGGTAGCCGTGTTGGTCTGCCATAGTCAAAACAAAAATTTTTTTTCCTTCCAGTAGCACCTTAAAGACCAACTAAGTTAGTTCTTGGTATGAGCTTTCGTGTGCACGCACACTTCTTCAGATGTTTCATTAGGTACATACATTTTGTCACTGTATATGACAGTGTATTTGATATGAATGTCTAAATCTGTCTAGAAGAACAGATGAGCTTAAGATACTTGGTGTATTACCATAGGGATGAGAGAAAATTATAAAACCAATTAGTTCCCTCCAACTGTGGTGTAAGTAGTCATTAGACACTACTGACAAATTCTTACACTGTGTGTTGTTTCTCTCTTGCAGGCCTATACAATTCAGGGACAATACGCTATTCCACACCCAGATGTGAGTTTTACCTTCATTGTTTGTATAAGAAGTTTGCTTTCTTATGTCATCTGCATGCTACTGCCAAATGCAACAAATATTAATATTAGAAATTAATATTAATACAACTTTTCTCAAAGTAAATGGCCGTGTGTAGTATTGGTATTAGCCTTTAACCTATTAGCACTCAACTATACTTCTGCTGAGGACTTGGCCTGTTGTGAAATTATTGAAATTATTCTGTGCTATCCCTTTGCTACATTGTGCGTGTGTAAGTGTGTGTACAACACACAAACACACACACACAAATATGCATTTTGTGCCTCAAATATTGGCCATTCAAAACCTTTCCCTCTGCTTCTCCTTCCTCATAAATTGCCCGCAAACAGATGCACCATTCTAAGTTATCCATTTGCTTATTTGATAATATAGAGAATATACCCAGAATTGTTAAACATTGTGTGCTTCTCTCAGACTTCACTTCCTGAGTGATTCTACAATCTGTCATTGTAGATATCCTCAGTTATAATGGAAAAGATGTCTGAATACCGTATTTTTCGCACCATAGGACGCACTTTTTCCCTCCTAAAAAGCAAGGGGAAATGTGTGTGCGTCCTATGGAGCGAATGCAGGGGGGGAGGCAGGCGGGAAAAGCCCCCAAGAGCCGCACACAAGCTCCGTGCGCTCTTGCGGGCTTTTCCACAGGAGGGAGAAGGGACTGACTGGCCGCATCAGTCCCTTCTCCCACGTCCCAGGAAAGCAAGGAGAAGCCGTGCAGCCCTTTTAAAGTGCGTGCGGCTTCTGCCGGTTTTGCGGGAGGTGGTGGAATTCCCCCACCTCCCAGGAAAGCCAGAAGAAGCCCTGCAGCCCTTTTAAAGTGCGCGCGGCTTCTGCCGGTTTTGCGGGAGGTGGGGGAATTCCCCCACCTCCCAGAAAAGCCAGGAGAAGCCGCACAGCCCCTTTAAAGAGCTCACGGCTTCTGCGGGCTTTTGCGAGAGGTGAGGGAATCCCCCCACCTCCCAGGAAAGCCAGAAGAAGCCGTGCAGCCCTTTTAAAGTGCGCGCGGCTTCTGCCGGTTTTGCGGGAGGTGGGGGAATTCCCCCACCTCCCAGAAAAGCCAGGAAAGCCCTGCGCAGCGTCTCCCGGCAAGGAGAGGCTGCGCGGGGCTAAAGGGGAAGGCAAAACAGCGAGCGGGATCCTTCCTTCTCGCTGCCTTGCCTTCTTCCATAGCTGCGCGCAACCCCTCCGCAAGGAGACGCTGCGCGCGGCTAAAGGGGAAGGCAAAACAGCGAGCGGGATCCATCCCCCTCGCTGCCTTGCCTTCTTCCATAGCTGCGCGCAACCCCTCCACAAGGAGACGCTGCGCGCGGCTAAAGGGGAAGGCAAAACAGCGAGCGGGATCCATCCCGCTCGCTGCCTTGCCTTCTTCCATAGCTGCGCGCAACCCCTCCGCAAGGAGACGCTGCGCGGGGCTAAAGGGGAAGGCAAAACAGCGAGCGGGATCCATCCCGCTCGCTGCCTTGCCTTCTTCCATAGCTGCGCGCAACCCCTCCGCAAGGAGACGCTGCGCGCGGCTAAAGGGGAAGGCAAAACAGCGAGCGGGATCCATCCCGCTCGCTGCCTTGCCTTCTTCCATAGCTGCGCGCAACCCCTCCGCAAGGAGACGCTGCGCGCGGCTAAAGGGGAAGGCAAAACAGAGCGGGATCCATCCCCCTCGCTGCCTTGCCTTCTTCCATAGCTGCGCGCAACCCCCCGCAAGGAGAGGCTGCACGGGGCTATGGCTTCTTTAGCCCTGCGCAGCGTCTCTCGGCAAGGAGAGGCTGCATGGGGCTAAAGGGGAAGCCAAAACTTGGCTTGCTCCATAGCTGCGGCGAACCCCTTGGCAGGAGAGGTGTGCGCCACCACTGTACACTGCTTCTTTTGGGGCTGGGGGGGGAAAAAAGATTTTTTTTCTTGATTTCCCCCCCTAAAAACTGGAGTGCGCCCTATGGTCCCGGTGCGCCCTATGGTGCGAAAAAATACGGGTACCTGATGATGCTGAAACCCTTCCTCCCAAACCTAGGGGAAAGAAATCATGTGTAAAGTTGGTCATTGTTATTCATGTTCTGGCACCCTGTCCATGGAGGAAAGTGAACAGATGTACTTATATACTTAGCAAAGGTTTGATTTGCTTCTTATGCATCATCATCTCTGAGAAGAAATATAAGCCACACCTAGACATAATCTTCTAATGTTATTTGGAAATGTTGCTTTGGTGAGGTTAGAGATTGGCGGAGAGAATAAATTTGAATTGGGTCGGCACCATTCTAGCCTACAGGAGGGAGCTCAGTTTTACTTCTTCTTCTTAAACAACTCTTGTGTTTAGCATAACATGAAGAAGCATTCCAGCTTTGCCTTCTTCTGGAAATGAGAAGGCATCTTTTCGTATGGAGATATGTGGGCCTTCACCTGATATCTGAAGTGGTATAACCAGGTCTGAGCCAAAACATCTAAATAGACAATATAATTTTTTTTAAATTTCCTTTTGGGGGGCTTACTGCCAATGATGGAGAATTTCAGGCAGAAAGGAGACTTTCAGGCAGAAGTGAATTTCGGGCAGAAGTGGAAAACCTCTCCCACTTCTCCACCCACATATAAGGTGGGAAAATTTGCATGCAACAGTCAATCCAATCCAATATTATTATTATGAATATTGTTGAAAGTAGCCATGGCCTCTACCCCTTCCAGTCTCACACCTTTAGCTCATTGCACACTTCATCTATCAATAGGAACAAACTATAGAGTTTCATTCAACAAATGAAACTGTTGAATGGGGCAAAATGGTGAAATGTCTATCACAGCCTTACAGCCCAGAAACAGCATGGAGAGGTTCTTTTTGCTCAGTTTTGGGGGCAACCCAGACTCAGGCCTAGAGAGAATGCGGCCTCAAGTTTTGCATTGGTCTGAGGATATGGGTTTGCAGTGGCAGAAGCAGGAGGAGGAAGTTATTTTGGACAGTTTTCTTTTTGCATCCAGCTGGGTTGTATGGCTCACAGTCGCACAGTGCCGTGTCTTCTGTCAGGTAAGCCAAGTGACAGGAAAAATTTGGAAAGGAACTGAAGATAATAATAAGGAACCTGCCACCGTGCCCAGTGTATAGCAGGGGCATGAATATTGTGAACAGGAATCTTCACCTCACCAAATACATCTCTAATCAGAAATGGTACAGAAAACGCCAAAAATTAGGAACACTTTTCAGATGATGAAAAGTTAACTCTCTAGGTTAGAAAGTAGGAGGCTCGTACCCTACGGATCCTATGTGGCTACAGTTGGGTCTATTGACTTGTTGTGAAGAGGACCTTCTTGAGAGGACCTGGAGTGTCCATTAGACAAGGCAGTGGGGATAATCGTGGTGGGAATAGCCACGAAATAAGGCTGGCAGTGCTGTTTGCTTTCATCCCAAGCCACCCTCTCATCCTCAGACAGGAAATGTACAAGTCCTCTTCCTGCTACAACATAAAGTATTCCAGTTAAGCTACTAACCAAAGGGGAACTTCCTAATAATAGATTTACACAGCAACCAGAAAGCCAGGATTACACTGCTTGCTTCATTAATTCAAGTGGTTGAAATGGCAGGGCATCATGTGAAGGGGAAAATTCTGCTACATTTAAAAAAAAAAAGACTTCCTTAGTGGTCCGGTAATAGATATGCATCAGAAGGCAGCTCATAACTGCTAAAAGTCAGAAATGGCAAGAGCATAAGGACGATGGCAAGGGATGTCACAGGCATTAGCCAAAAGGTACTTGTGACATTTGTACAATTTAAAAAAAATGATCAGAGCTTTGGAAAGTATCACATTTTCCTAGAAACAAAATATTGTAGTTTGAAAGCTGGAGAAGTCAGATATCTCTACAATACAAACATTACTCCCAGGGAAAACATCTCTATCTTACGCAACTGACAAATGACAACTTGTGCACTCAATGCACAAAACAAAATTAGCAATTTAGGTTGCCATAGGCTTGCAGTGCAGAGAAAATTAGACTCACTTAATTCCCATTTCAGGAGGGCTTAATATAGAACTTGGCTTTCTTCAGATTGCTTCTCTGGCAGGTCCTTTTTCTGAATACTGTACTTGTGCATATATTTATATGATTGTATTTGACTAGAAAAGGACAAGGTTCTCATGCTGAACCAGGACGATTTCAACGAACTATTGAGGAAAATCCCAATGCTTTTTCCTGCTATGTAATTCTTTGTTCTGCTGAACTTGTAGGCCAGGCCAGCCATAAATAACGATTCTCCCTGCACATTGCGATGACCCTAAGTGAACTCGAGGATCACACCCAGAGCCTTGCCATTTTCATTTATTCTTGCTGGAATGTTTAGATTCTTGAGCAGTTTCTATTAATCTGTCTATGGTGTAGTTAAATAAATACCAATGCATTGTGGTGGGGGGGGGACTTATAAATTTATGTTAGAAAACACATTTGCCAAAAAGTTCTATGGATTATTACCTTTTTTCTGTTTTGTGAGCTTTGCATACATTGATTTCCTAATCTTCCATTGACAGTGTTCAACTTAACAATTTTTTTCCAGTTAAGGTTTACTTTATAGCCCCAAGGTTCCAAAATAGCCTAGTGTGTTATATCAATTGTTTGATTTATCACAAAAGCATCAATATTATGAGATGGCGCACTGAGATTTTATACACCAACCCTTCTTTCAAAATTGTTTTGCATTCGAATTAAAGGAGTTTAGCTGATTAGTTATCTGGTGCTTAAAAAAATCTGTCTTATAAAGCGTGTTCTCCAATAAATGAGAGCACATGTTGCGGTGTGGGCCACCGGGCCAGGCCTCTTGTTGCCAGGCAGGTTAATAGTTGTTGCCTGGCATTGTGATTGGATAACCGGGTTGCTGGGGCAAATTGTATGTTGCAAATTGGGTGGGTGGGACCATAGTCTTTAAATATTGGTGCACTCTGGTTTCTCTTTCTCTTTGCAGAGTGCACCGGATCACCCGCCCGCCCGCCCTCTTTTCCGGTTGACCTTGCTTTGCCTGTCATGGGGTCGTCTGCCTTGGCGCAGGGGCCTAGTAGGAATTTTGCTATTTGGTGATTGGCTGGTGCCACTTGGCTTTTGCCTACTACTCAGCAATTCGTCACAACTTGTAAGGTTGCGGTTAGGCATTGGTTATAATATGCTGGTGGTGGAGGGGTCAGGATAGGCTGTGCCTGCCCCTCCCATTGCGCCGAAGGGAATTCCGTTAAAGGAATCCTGGGGCTTGCCATGATTTCATCCAATCCCTGTCATGGGAATCCTTGTCATAGGACCGGGCCGGCAAGCTTTCGGGGAGCTGCTGGGGTGAGCGGCGTGGGTCCGACGCTTAGCTCAAATGACCCCCAAGTTTGACTTTCCCGTCTACTGGCTACCGATCGGACCTCGGGATGTCAGTTCTGTCCCAGGCGGGGGGACAGATAGTCATAACCAATGTCTAAACAACCACTCACTGATTTTGTATTTTAATAAAGTTGTGGCCAAAATAGTGCCCAAAAACCAAAACTAAATTACGTGTTATGTGTGAAGTTATTTGAAGGGTGGCCTGGGGACCTACACACGCAACTGTTCTTCTTGCGGAAGGAGCCCCCCCCCCTGCAATTTTGGCAGGGGGTCCATCTCCCCCTCGGACCTTATGCTATAGCTGCTCCATTCCTCTCAGCTCTTGATGGAACATTTTTAAGGGGCTGTTAAGGGAAGTCCAGTTTCCACCATATTTAATTCTGGATTGAACCCATTATGTTAAAAAGTATTTTGGATTTACTAATGAAAAGAATGACCCTATTTTCTTTCAAAATTATTTCCACTGCACTGAATAAAAGCCACATCTGGTGAAGTGGCTAGAAAATGTAGAAGAATATGCCACCCAGTGGGTTGAGCAAGACGAAGAAGTTACACTGATCAGGAAATGCTGTGTCTCTCCTAGGAGACAGAAAGAGGACTTTCAAAGGAAACTCTCTCTATAGCTTTGAAATCTCTATAATTTCTTTTTTCATATATTCACACAGACCTTTTTATTAAATCTACTTCTCTTACTACCAGAATTAGTGTGGCTGCATGCAGTGTAGGATAAGCCTAAATGAAGAAAGGTAGTAGAAATGGACAAGAAATCAAACTGTTATGAGCAGAAACCATGCAAACTGGACAAGGATGGTACACAGGGAAAATGGTTCATTGCCTCCTTTCAGTACAACTGTGTGGGAATCATGCTGCCTCTGACCTTAGGAACATAGATAATTTGCTCTGAAAGATGCATTTCTTAAGGATAAATTTCAATACATGCCGGACTTTTGAGGGTGATATTTGCTTTGAGTTTCATTTGAAAAGTATTATTAGTTACTTTAGGTTCTGATTTCTATCTGTGAGCTTCTTTAAAAGTGGAGATAATTTGCATGCCATTTTCTTCTGGTGTTTTGCTTGCCAACTCTGACAATGGATTGAAAGCTCTATTTTTCAAACTCCCCTTTACCTTCCTACCTGTCTTCTTGAATAGCCTCCCAGGTGTTCTGCCTTCAGTGCTTCACCCTGACTATTACCAAACCAATGTCAGACTTCCCTGCATCCCTTCCCTCCAATATGCTGCAGGAGCAAGAGTTTCCCAGTTATTTTTGCCCAGAATTGAAAGTATAAGTTTCCCATGCCTTACATTTCAGGGGGCTGGCCTGACTGGCTTGGTAGTATGTTCCTATGGCTGATTTGTTGTTCTATGCCATCTAAAGCAGGGGTGGCCAGTGGGGTGCCCTTGAGATGTTGCTGTACTTAAGTTCCTGTCATCCCTGAGCATTGGCCGTGTTGGCTGAGTGGAGTTGGGAGTCCAACAACACCTGGAGTTCACCACATTGCCTACCCCTGAGGAATCGTATTACTCCCCGAGCCTGCACAGCAAAATTTTGAAAGTGGACATGCTTTGCCATTATTTTCCTTCTTGGGTAATAGCAGAGATGCCGCGCAAAATGTATTCCAGATGCACTCCTCTTTCTGAGCTCTTTGTTAAGGGGCTCTTAGAAGTCTCTGAGCACAACAAGGGATGAACGGGGTCTGAAATACATACCTATTTTGGCCAAACCCACACACATTGGACTTTATACGTCCTAAACCCGCACTGCTGCTTTGGTCCCTAGAACGTTTCCTGCCTTGGGCACCAAACACCAGCTCCAGTTCAGGAGCAGTTAGCTCCTCTGCTAAGGTGCCCAACTTGCTGCTGAAAGTGCTTTATGTGTGCACTCTTGGTGGTCCAGATGTTTCCCACTTTTGTTCCAGAAGATGCAAGGCAGAATTTTATTTAGTTTTTAGCTACAGGGATAAAAACACCAAAACTAGGCTGCTGTATTTCAGACCCTGATCGAGCACAACTGCCACAGATTTGGGCATTACCGTATTTACCCAGGCCAAGTCCTTCTGTTAAAGCTGTGTTTGCCATGTTTCCACATGGCTTCCTGGTGTTTTTTTTCCTTTTAATTATAATTTTGTTCTTAGTTTTTGGTGTGACTTGTATTCTATAACAATAACCTTCTTAGTTCTAATGTCCCTCCTACCCCTCAGCAGTTGACCAAGCTCCACCAGTTGGCTATGCAGCAAACCCCCTTTACTCCCCTTGGACAGACCACCCCCGCTTTCCCTGGTACGTACCCAAATACCCTTTACAGATTTCCTTCTCTTCTTACCTATGCAGTTTCTCTTTCTTTCTAAGTTCAATTTGTTTAATGGTTTTTTTAAAAAAAATAGGATCTGTAACCAAAGTTGCAAGTATCAGTTTGAGATATGTTAAAAGCACTAGAATAATCATCCAGTTTTTCTTCATTGTGGGTATGGGTTCAATCCACTCATGGGCATTTTTATCTACTTTGCTCTTTACCTTGCTGAGAAATAGACAGGTTATGCGTCTGCAAGTCACCTGCTCATTTTGTCTGCTGCAAGACATCCATGTGGCCAACAACACTTTGTTTATGGGGGCATCGAAAGTGTCAGTTGAGAGGATGCAAATTCCTTTTAGTTCTCTGTCATGGTTTTGGTCACTGTTTGGTCACTGTTTCATTCATGTATTCAAAGACATGAATTCATTCTTAATTAATGTTTAGCAGGTGAAGCTCATGCTTTCATGAGAAATACTGAGAGGGAGCCGTTACTCTAGTGGATAAGCCCTTTATTCGAAGCATGGCGAAGACTTTAAGGGCTTCTGACAGAAACTTAGTAGGTGCTATTGTGCCTCACAAATGTTAGTAAATTATTAAGTAAAGTGAAATCATTTCAACGGAACACTCAATTAGTAGATACTACATTCCATGTGTTACGTGTATCTATTTAATATATCTTCATTTCATTCGGGCGATCACAAAATGCGTGTTCTGCCATTTTGTTCATCATATTTTGAGCTTCCTAGATGAAGTGACATTGCTTATCTCCTCGAAGGCAAAAAACATTAAATCTGTTTCTTCTTTGCTCTTCAGGAGAAAAGCTGCCCTTACATTCCTCCGAAGAAGCTCAAAATCTGATGGGCCAATCATCAGGTAAAACAAAGGCTATAGGCAAATACACAGGGTACTATCTGCATTTATAAATATTTTTTCAATTGGATTCTACCACTTTTGTAGCCACTTACAAACTGACTGCTCAAGTTATGCTGATGAGATAGTTTGACTCTCAGTGGGCATTAATATGTTAGTATAACACAATATGAACTGCTTAAGCTATAATGGTATACAGTGAATCCTATATAATTTTTTTTAGAAAAACACTGGGATAAAATGAAATTGCAGAAGTGAAATGTCTCCTCTTTTACAGAATAATTGCTCTGTATAAGAACAGGATTTTGGCTCCTCCTGCTTTTTGTTTTCAGTCAACCTGTGAAACTACTCTCCTCTAAGCCTCTCCAACGTCCTATCAGTGGGTTTTTATAAGCACTGGTCAGGATCCAAAACTGATGCAACTAGTTCTGTGCACCTTAGTGAGCTTTGGGTTTTTGTACATTGAACAGCAACCCTCCACTTGACACACTGCTTTCAAACCTGATATAATAATAATAAGAAAAAGAATTTATTATTTATACCTCGCCCATCTGGCTGGGTTTCCCCAGCCGCTCTGGGCGGCTTCCAACAAAATATTAAAATACAATAATTAATCAAATGTTAAAAGCTTCCCTAAAGAGGGCTGTCTTCAGATGTCTTATAAAAGTCCGATAGTTGTTTATTTCTTTGACATCTGACGGGAGGGTGTTCCACAAGGTGGGCGCCACTACCGAGAAGGCCCTCTGCCTGGTTCCCTGTAACTTCGCTTCTTACAATGAGGGAACTGCCAGAAGGCCCTCGGCGCTGGACCTCAGTGTCCTGGCAGAACAATGGGAGTGGAGACACTCTTTCAGGTATACTGGGCCGAGGCCATTTAGGGCTTTAAAGGTTAGCATCAACACTTTGAATTGTGCTCGGAAACGTACTGGGAGCCAATGTAGGTATTTCAGGACTGGTGTTATGTGGTCTTGGCAGCCACTCCGAGACGCCAGTCTAGCTGCCGCATTCTGGATTAGTTGTAGGTTTTGGGTCACCTTCAAAGGTAGCCCCACATAGAGTGCATTGTAGTAGTCCAAGCGGTAGATAATCAGAGCATGCGCTACTCTGGCAAGACAGTCCACGGGCAGGTAGGGTCTCAGTCTGCGTACGAGATGGAGCTGGTAGACAGCTGCCCTGGACATAGAATTGACCTGCTCCTCCATGAACAGCTGTGAGTCCAAAATGCCTCTCAGGCTGTGCACCTGGTCCTTCAGAGGCACAGTTACCCCATTCAGGACCAGGGAGTCCTCCACACCTGCCCGCCACCTGTCCCCCCAAAACAGTACTTCTGTCTTGTCAGGATTCAACCTCAATCTGTTTGCCGCCATCCATCCTTTCAACCGCCTCCAGACACTCACACAGGACCTTCACCACCTTCACTGGATCTGATTTGAAAGAGAGGTAGAGCTTGGTATCATCTGCATATTGATGAACACCCAGCCAAAACTCCCTGATGATCTCTCCTAGCGGCTTCATGTAGATGATAAAAAGCATGGGGGAGAGGATGGAACCCTGAGGCACCCCACAAGTGAGAGCCCAGGGGTCTGAACACTCATCCTCCAACACCACTTTCTGGACACGGCCTAGGAGAAAGGAGTGGAACCACTGTATGACAGTGCCCCGGCTCCTAGCCCCTCTAGATGGTCCAGAAGGATGTTGTGGTCGATGGTGTCAAAGGCGGCTGAGAGATCCAGCAGAACTAGGAAACAGCTCTCACCTTTGTCCCTAGCCCGCCGGAGATCATCGACCAATGCGACCAAGGCAGTTTCAGTCCCATGGCTGAATCCTGACTGGGAGGGATCCAAATGGTCTGCATCCTGCAGGCATGCCTGGAGTTGTTCAGCAACCACCCACTCAATCACCTTGCCCAAGAATGGAAGATTTGAGACTGGGCGATAGTTGGCCATATTGGCCGGGTCTAAAGTTTGTTTTTTTAAGAAGCGGTTTAATTACTGCCTCTTTCAGTGGGTCTGGGAAGGCTCCCTCACAGAGAGAAGCATTCACCACTCCGCGGAGCTCATCGCCCAGCCCTTCCCAGCTCGTTTTTATGAGCCAGGATGGGCAAGGATCAAGGAGACAGGTGGTTGGTTTCACTCGTCCAAGCAGTCTGTCCACATCCTCGGAGGTAACAGATTGGAACTGACTAGACAGGACTCTAGCACTGTCCCGCCCCAGCCCTGCTCCCATGGTGGCATCTACCTCCTTCTGAATCTGAGCGACTATATCTGCAAAAAAAACCTTTGCAAAATCATTGCAGCAGATCTTGGGGCCTTTACCGGTCTTCTGCTGCTGTTTTCTGCAGATGCAATAGAGGCGGTGAAGAAGGTCTTCTTTGTCGTCGCTATTGCCACTTGGTAGGCTCGACGTTGAGCTCTAACCTGTGTCCGGTCAGATTCAGAATGAGTTTTCCGCCACTGGCACTCTAGCCATCTCAGTGATTGTTTCATCACCATCAGCTCCGAGGAAAACCACGAGGCTGTCCGGGCTCCATGCAATCAGAGAGGGAGCTTCAGAGCCAGACAGTCAATACCCCTGGTTAGCTCCACCAGGGACACCAGGGAATCAGCTGAAAGGCCATCAACATGGGATAAAACATCCCCTACCACTCTCTGGAAACCATTTGGATCCATTAAGTGGCGGGGGTGGACCATCCGAATTGGTCCCACTTCCCTACAGAGGGGAAGGGTCGCGGAGAAGTCCAGTTGCACCAGGAAGTGATCTGACCATGGCACTTCTTTTGTTTTGCTTTTACTTAGTGTCAGATCACCCACATCCATAGAGGTGAACACCAGGTGACTATGAGTTGGGCCAAACTTATTCAGGGACAGCCCCATGGAAGCGATGCTTTCCACGAAGTCCTGAGCGGCCCTTGTAAGGTTGTGTCAACATAGATGTTAAATCCCCTAGGACAACCAAACTAGGAGGTCTCCAGGAGAACATCTGCCATGACCTGAAGCAGCTCAGGCAGGGAATCCTTGGTGCAGCGGGGAGGTCGGTACACCAACAGGGAATCCTGGTGCAGGCGGGGAGGTCGGTACACCCAAAGGAACCCATGTACTGGTCGTATTCGCCAACTTCCAGGACCATGGCACTCAGAAAACTGGCGTCTCCCAATAGGACAACCTGGTGTTCAAACTAATGACTTCCTAAAAATCACTGCAACCCACCACCACCACCATATGACCTGGGTAGCTTAAATCCCCCCCCAAGCATCTATTTGTTGTGAAAAGTCACAAGAGCCATATGAATACTTTCACGTTTTGCATCACAACTTGTGTTGGAGAGGGATTCTGATAAAGAATAGCATTACAGGAGAATATGGTTAAAGCCCCCTCCTGAGCACCAGGTTTCCAATATGAATTGGGATTTAGTTTACTTTTTAAAATGGTGTCTCAGCTCCAGAGGTAGCCAAATGCTGCTGCTTACCTGTGTTTTTTCATCTGGGTCCTGAACCTAGTTTTGGGACTATTGGTGAACAATCTGTGCTATAAGCCAGTCACGGGGAGTGTGCCTGGATGTTGTTATGTGAGATGTAGACATGAGGAAGCCTGGAATGCCTTGGGACCATGGGGCTTTTGAGGAAGAGTTTGACTTTCTTCCCCTACCATGATCCCAAGAAAAAGCACCTCTCCAAAGTTGTTTCTTGCATTTCAAGGGGAGCTCTCATTGGTGCTGTCAGAGGCTTCCCTTGAAAGGCAGAGAGAAGCTTCAGAGGTGGGGAGTGGGCCTGTCAGGGACAGAGGTTCCTCCTTCCTCTCAGTCCTATGCCTCTTCAGGTTTCCCCATGTCTGCTGTTCACTTATTTAAAATGTAGGTGCTAATTGCATTCAGGCAATAAATGTCACATCTGGTTAGAATTAACAATGGCAAATATTCACATGTAATTTTCCTTGCTTATTTTCAAAAACAGCAAACTAAAATTTAAGAATTGCGTAATTATCTGTGAGCATTACATAGACCAGATCTAAGATTTGCCCCTGCATGAACACAGGCTTCAGTGCTGGGAAGGCCTAGATAGCTGTTTCAAGGAAGCTGGACTTCTGCTGATCAGCAATGCTGGGAGGGAGTCTGAGTTCAGTTCTCCACCAGATTGCTTGTTGGGTGTTAGCAAATGGGCAAATAAGAAGCTGTTTCATTACAAGATCATGGAGAGGCAAATTGCCATATTAGAACTGGAAGCCTAAGGGATCCCAGAAGTGAGTGATGAACTAGAGAATAAGCACGCTAACTTCATTTTCTTTAAATGTTGAAATTATAAGTCTTGCTTTTATTTCGCATTATATTGCTTGTAATTTGCAGCAGATCTGCTTCCAGGCACAGTCAAAGGGAGCAGCCTAAAAGGAAAGTTGTAGTTGAGCGTGCAGCTTTGAACCTTTGTGCAGTCCAGGGAATCTTTCCTTTCAAAATAATAATAATAATAATAATAATAATAATAATAATAATAATAATAATAATAATTTATTTATTTAGTATTTATACCCCACCCATCTGGCTGGGTTTCCCCAGCCACATATCTGAGGCCATTGTGGATAGGACATTAACTAATTCAAAACTTAGGCTGAAATAAATTGGATGAAAACCTCCAGGCAGCCTCTTTTTACAGCCTCTTGCAACATTTTATAAATCACACAGAGCGTGTATACAGATACAGACCTCTTCTTACTGCCTCTTCTTACCTTTGCAACCAGCTCCAAAAGAAACAAGGAAAGCTTCCCTGTCAGTGGGTGGGTCTCTAAATTTACACTTATTCTTTCAAATGAGTATCTGGAGCAAGAATGGGATATCTGGCCTTCCAGATGTTGTGAAACTCCCTCATCTCTGACCATTGTCCCTGTGGACTCAGGCCAATGGGAGTTGGAGTCTGGCAACATCTGGTGGGCCGACTACAGGTTCAGAATAATTATGTGAGAACCATTAAGTTCCATGGAAAATCATATTTTTGCAGGCAAATATCCATCTTCTTTTGGGAGAAATGAATTATACATTCCTTGCTTTTTCAACATGGTGTTGAAATTGCATAAAGTAAATTTGGCACTGGAAATGTGCTGTCTAAAGAGTGAATCATTATGACTGAGGTGGTCAGGAACATGTTTTCATTCTTCAAGTCATTGAGTTGGATACTAAGAACTTGGAGTGAAAGGAAAACATTGGCTAGCATTGTTCTGCAAATACTTGCTCAAAAGACCAAGAATTCACAACAGGCTTTATAGCGCTTCTCACACACTCACTTGTGCTACAGATCGTGCAAGGGGAACCACACGTCTGGATTTATTTTCACTTTTCTTGCTGTAGTGTGAGGTGGAAAACAGCTGTTCTATGACAGGTAGGTAGCCGTGTTGGTCTGCCATAGTCGAAGCAAAATACAAAAATTCCTTCCAGTAGCACCTTAGAGACCAACTAAGTTTGTTATTGGTATGAGCTTTCATGTATCTGAAGAAGTGCGCATGCACATGAAAGCTCATACCAAAAACAAACTTAGTTGGTCTCTAAGGTGCTACTGGAAGGAATTATTTTAAGCTGTTCTGTGAGTGAGAGGCAGTTTTGCATATGGGGCAATTTGAGATGGAGCAAGTTACTTTGTGAAAGTTTTCACAGTTCTTTGACTTTTCTAAAAAAGAATACTGTGGTTTCAAATTGGGCACAACCTATTCAATATATATAGCATTACATATAAGGGTAAGTAGACTGTTTTTTGAGATGACAGCCTATAAATTAAAGGAGCAGATCAATATATATTTTAGTCATTGATTTCAAAGCAGAAATCTCTTGTCTTGCAACCTATTCTTACAAGAAATAAATGCAATAATAAAGACTAATAGATGTGGCAAAATACAGTAGCTACAGTGGGAAAGAGCTTGACCACAATCCCAGGGTCTGATGATAAGCTACGACAAACTTTAGCTTTGGACCGGGGTGGGGAGCAAAGCTGGACAGTCAACACATTTGCACAGTCTGGGTAAGCCAGAATTTCACTGACTGTTGCCTGAACTGCGCCAATTAATGAACACCCCCAGATTCAGTGAGCGGTCATGTTGTCAGCTCAAAAATTATTTCCTGTTTGTACTACTTAAACCTGATTAATGCCATCATCAGGCTAAAGCGTTCATCTACAGTGGAATTGATCACGATGGACCTTCTGAATACCATTTGCTGGAAACCACAGGAGGGGAGAGGACTCTTGTTCTGGAACCCTGCTTCCTGGTTCTCCATAATGGACATCTGGTTGGCCACTGTGAGAACAGGATGCTGGACTAGATGGGTCATTGGCCTGATCCAGCAGGCTCTTCTTACATTCTTACTTGCTCGTAGCGGTCAATATGACAGGAAAGTTTGCTTCCCCCCTCCCCAGTTTATACCTTTGACCTTCACACCACTTACCTCTGGAGTACATTTGCAGTAGAACTCTATCCTTATATTGGGTTTGGTGTCAAGATATGTTCCATACCTGTCAGGGGCATCAGCATAATGCAAAGTGAGTAGCAATGAGGGAACCAATTTGTTTATGTTTGGCAACCAAAACAGTCTGGCTGGAGAGACAGAATACAATGCGCTTCACAAAATGGACTTCTGTGGCAGACATTGCATCGTGGCCTGGACATGTTCTCCCCAACACTAACCCCAAGGTACCACAAGGTCCTGGCTGTGTTTTTGCTCTGTTGATTAACAGCAACTTTTTGAGCCAACTGTTTTATCTTTGATCCCGAAACGGAAGCAAGGTGAGGTGAGGATACGGTACCTGTGGAGTTTGTAATGGTTTGTATTAGAACCAAATGGGCAGGTTAAGAGAGAATTGATTCTAGGAGCTCTAGGTTAGTAGTATTAGTGCTTTCCTTGCTACTTTGCCAAAACATGTTCCTTCCTTACCCCCTGGCCCTGGTGCAGTCTGAGAAATTCACAAGGTCTGCTATTTTGGTGGAATACCAGACACTGTGCAGTGCTATGTCTTCAAGCTATAACCATTTTCCCTTGCATATGCCCAGGTTTGGATGCCAGTCCCCCGGCCAGTACTCATGAACTCACCATTCCCAATGATGTGAGTATCGCATCTCAATGCTCATTTTTAAAACATGTTTCTCTACAAATTACAACTAGGACATTTAGCAAAGCCCAGGCATTAATTCCAGGCGTATCATTTCAAAGTCTTTTAACAAAGTACAGTTACTAAACTGAAAGGGGTGGAATAAAGATTCGGGGAGGGGGATGGCCTTGGCAAACTTTCTTCAGTAGTCTAGTCCTTAGGAAATGGACCTGACATCTCTGGAGAACGACACCATTTTCTGACCCTTTCTAGTCCTATAGCATTAGAGGTTTGCCAGCTGCAGGCAGGTGCTGCCTCAGTAATTTCACAAGTTGCCTTATGTGATGAAAACGGAGTTGTTTTCCTTGCCCATTCTGTGCCAAGTGGTAATCAAAGCAGTGCAATTGGAGCTGAGCTGGGAAATGGTGGGACTTACTTTGTGCATAGCTGTCAACTTTTCCCTTTTCTTGCGAGTAATCCTATTCGGAATAAGGGAATTTCCCTTAAAAAAGGGAAAACGTTGACAGCTATGACTTTGTGGTGGGAGAGAAGTGGGAAGTGGGAGGGGTCGTGGCTCCGTTTCTTATTATCTGGTACTGTATTCTAACAGGAAAGGTTGTGCTTCGTTGACTACTTGTTCATGCAAATATTCAATTTGTTTCTAGATAAAAAGCAAGTAATTCTTCCCCTATTTTTAAAAACCAGTTTGACAGTCTATGAGAAACAGAACAGAACACATATAGTACTCCTTTTCAAATAGCCCCTGCAGAAATTCTACATTTGATGTCGTTTAGAAAGGTTTTCATGCTAGCTATTTATTTATTGTGACTTATTTCAGAGCACAGAAATGTAAATTGACCTCTCTTCCAGTCCACTCCAGCTGTGCTCATTTCACACATTATGAGTATGGTTTAGAACAGGAGTTCCCAAATGTTTTGGACCCAGGACAGCAGCACATTTGAAAATCTAAAAAACTGCCGTGAGCACCACAAAACACTAATTTCACAGAAGAAAAAAGAGTTATAATAGCCCCCTGTCCCAAGCAGACAAAATACCTCCACCTTAAAAAAAAATCAAATAAAACACAGAGGAGGGAAGTACATTCCCCATAACAAGCTATCTCTCTGTCTGGGGGGACTAAGGGCCTTGGTGGACACCAAGGGTGGTTTCTGGAGGTACAGTGCTCCTGCCGTATGCACCACGTTGGAGACCCCAGGTCTGGAAACAGTTGAGAGCTAAGCAAGTCAAAAACCATGGTGGAGTGTGTTTTAGAAAAAGACAGTGAAAAGGGTCTGACTGAAGTCTCTGAACATGCGTTTCCAGCTCCATGAAATTGTGGTTTTGTATCTATTGGCTTGGAGAAAAGGTACAATATAAATGTTATAATAAACAACATAGAATGTAGCTCTATCTTATTTGCAATTGTGAGCTTCCTGTCAATTTATCCTGGCTCATTAGTGGACCCTGCAAAGATTTAAAAGTTCCTATTTTAAATGGGCATAGGTCCTTCAGAGTCTCCCATTCTCTGTACTTTTCTTATGAAATTTCTAGAGCCAAAATGTACTGTTAGTGTTGGTTGAATTGAAAGACATAATTGTTTCTGGTATGCTTTTAATTTGTGGGGGCAATTTGCTTAGCAACAAACATTAATTCTCCCCCATTGAGCATGCAAATTTTGGCATGAACATACTCAGTTAATCTCAGTTATATTTAACATTAATCTCAGTTATATTTAATTTGTTTGAATTCATCTTCCATGAATATGAGCAACCAAAACTCTTTCCCAGGGTTGTTCATTCATTCCCCAGGGCAAGCCATGACAGTCCTCCCCTACAGAGACAGCATGACTTTGCCACGTCATGCCAACCCAAAACCCACCATTAAAACCTCATGTATAGATGGTTTGCACTGTTTATCCATTATGCAAATGAAAGCAAACTGAGCTCTGGTTTCAGTTAATGTATGTGCAGGGACACTGTCTATCACAATTACATCAACACTCTTCTGTTCCACATTCAATAAAACCTTAACAAAAATATTTAAGCAGGTTTCTAAAAATCCATACCTGAATCTGAAGGTGAACAAATAATGTGGCTGAGGAGGAAAAGGTGATGGGGGAATTCTGACTTGAGTGTTTCAGTTTAGTTTAGTTTGGTTTATGCCATTGATTTTTGAGCTTGGCATGCAACCTGAAATTTAGAGGCCGCCATAGTATATTTGAATGAGACAAAGACTTTTGGCTTTTTGAACAGCAAATCATTATTAATTCTGGTGTCTTAAAGTGGTGTTATCCTCAACAACAATGAATGGGATGTTCTCTCTAGGACTAGGAGCTTCTTCTGAATCTGTAATCCAGTCTGGCTCCCTGGCCCATTATAAATGATCTCCCTCTGATCCTACAGAACAATTCTTCAGGAAATCTACCATTTAAAAGACCTATTTTTCTTTCTACTAACTTAAATTATATAGACAGCAGTATAATGTGAGCCGTTTCCAGAATGGCTTGTGTTATGTATTTTGATTACAGCTCCTATTATAATATATTCTCCAACACAGATGAAAACCAGGGTGTTTATGAGTGTTACCCCATTCGCACATTGAGTATACTGTGACTTCATGTTCTGGACAGATATGGGCATGAATATGCATTATTTTCAGTATGCAAGCCATGTTCACTCAATAAGATTCCATAGAAATGCATCCATAGAGTTATGGAAGCAATTCATTTTTGGAGTATGAAAGGGACAATGTTCTCTTCGCCATTTGCTTCTGAGGTCCTATCATTGTGGATTCTGTTAGATTTCTCCCCAATACCATGTTGCTTTCTGGTTGATAGGGCACCAGCTTGCACATCTTTCTATATTCTTACATGGTTCATAGAACCATAGAATAGTAGAGTTGGAGAGGGGCCCGTGGACCAAGCTTCCACTTGAATCAGAAAATCCAGATGTGGTGTATTCCCAACAGATGACTGTCAAACCTCTGTATGAAGACCTCTAGCACACACACATACACATGCCAGCAATTGGTTCCAATTGGTGTCAAGTGGTCCTTACCAATAAGACGTTACTCCTAAGGTTGCACAGAAGCCTAATCTTCTGTGATAGAAGCCCATGAGATCTAGCTTTTCCCTCCTAGGCAGAAGAAACCAAGTCAACACCCTCCTCTGTGTGACAGCCCCTTTGGGTATTTGAAGTGTGCTTTCATGTCCCTTCTCAGTTCCTTCCACCTTTGCTGTCCATATCCCTGCATCTTCATTGCCATCTTTGGAACCAATTTTTCTACATCCTTGTTGTCATGCTCTGCAGTTCTGATGATGTCTGACAAGTGCAGAACCAAGTGGAACCATTATTTTATAGCTGTCAACTTTTCCCTTTTCTTGCGAGGAATCCTATTTGGAATAAGGGAATTTCCCTTCAAAAAAGGGAAAAGTTGACAGCTAGGTTATTTTTCATAATGCAGCCTAAACTTGCATCAGATTTTTTTACACCCATATTCAGTTACTGTTTGTAAAAACATTGTTGGATTTATTTGTATATTATTTAGATTTATGTCCCACCCTTCAGAGACATTGCCAGGTTTGGTTAAATTCTTACTCTCTGGCTCCAGTTTCTTAGGATGCTCTGTGATGAGTCTGATAGATAGTTGGTCCTGCCTTTGAGCTAGATCACTACAAAAAGCTTTTTTAAAAATTACATTGCACTTGTAATAGAAGAAAATCAAAATCTGGTACTGGGGAAAGCACTAACAGGCTCTTGCAGACAACACTTTGCACACATAGAAGCGACACTGCAAGTTGTCATGATATAAACAGCTGCTTCATTACTCCAGAAACAGGGTGTATTTTGGAGTCCAGCAGACCTTTATGTCTCAAGGCAACTGAAAATGTGGACCCTCCAGCTCCACAGCATTTGATGGCAGAGGGTGAGAAATGAAAGAGATTCAGCTTCAAAACATTCAACTCGGCTTGAATCATGTGGAATGTGGTGTATTGCACTGTGTATAGGGATAAACAAAGCTGTCATGTTGAGTTGTCTAAGTTTCTCATGTTTCCAGTCTTAAATTCAGTTCTTCACATTTCAACAACAATTTGCAATTTTATATAAAAAATATCCTTATGAAAATTCATCAGCCTTTTTTGTGCAAACTTCTCCTGCTTGTATGTAGGTTTTCAGTAACAAACACATTTTTCAAGCAGTTTCCCCTAATAAATGCATTTTTGTGCACATTTTCCCTTAAAATATTCATTTTGTACATATTGCTTAGGTGGAGGATGGAAACGCAAAATTCAGAGAAGGACAAGCTCCAAAGGAAAGCTGTGTTTTGGTTCACATATTGTTCCAGAAAGTGCAAAATAACTAAACTAAAATGATCTAACTAGAACATGAGCAAGATTGAGTATTTCCTCAATCCCTAGCTCTGTATGACAATTTCAGTTCCATGGACGTTCAAGGCAGCTACTTAATTAGATTTACTTTATCATATATTGTTCGTTTTTGTTTGCTGGGATGATTTCTTACCTGCTCCTTCACCGCGGTCACAGCAATGCAAAAATTGTCTGTTTTTACTGGAGGGGTGGTCCGTCCAAGGAATTTTCCTCACGGGTTTCCCAAAGAACAGCCAAAAATGAGCAGCAGCAGCATTTAGCATACCTACTTAGGTGTAAATTTAGCAGTAAGTTAAAAAAAATGGGACTCGGGTGGCGCTGTGGGTTAAACCACAGAGCCTAGGACTTGCCGGTCAGAAGGTCAGCGGTTCGAATCCCCGCAATAGGGCGAGCTCCCATTGCTCGGTCCCTGCTCCTGCCATCCTAGCAGTTCGAAAGCACGTCAAAGTGCAAGTAGATAAATAGGTACTGCTCCAGTGGGAAAGTAAATGGCGTTTCCGTGCGCTGCTCTGGTTCGCCAGAAGTGGCTTAGTCATGCTAGCCACATGACCCGGAAGCTGTATGCCGGCTCCCTCGGCCAATAAAGCGAGATGAGCGCCGCAACCCCAGAGTCGGTCACGACTGGACCTAATGGTCAGGGGTTCCTTTACCTTTAAATTCAAAAATACTGTGGACAGGAAACATCGAGATAGATTTTTGAGGCCTAACATTGAAAGTGACAAAGGTGCTCACAGAAACAGCAACCCAGGTGTAGCTCAGTGCCACATTGTGGACACAGCTGTAGTGAATCTTTCTTAACACCTGGTGGCTAAAATTCCTGAGTTTATAGCTGAAATAACATTTCAATTAACACTCATGTGTTTGAAGACTACTTTTATTTTGATGATGGTTCTTTTCGCCCAGAAGCGTCTTTTGCTTGAGCTTGTTTGACCATTCTTAAGATTTTGCCTTGGTGTTTTGGTTTCCAGCTGCCTCTTCTCTGCTTCTCTTCTTCACATTTGAAATGTTTAAGTCATGGCTGTGCTTAGAAGGTTTGCATACTCACTTTAGTTAACTGACAGCTACTGGTATTACTGAAGATTCATTCTTGTTAGTGGCTTTGATTGGAGGAGCTAATGAGTGAGTGGGCACGAAAAATCAGTTACCTTCTCATCCCAGCTCTGCCACTACGGAAGTGGGGCACCAGGGCGTGTGTTGATCTGGCCAATCACAGAGCTTTCTGTGCCCCTCCCTTTCCCCTGGTGCTCATCTCAGAGCACAAGCCCTTGCTCCATTCTGAGCACACCTGGGAGGAGAGAAAAGGCAGAAGGGCTGAGGCTGAGGAAGAACACCACACCTGCAGCTCACAGCCCTCTTGCAGAGAAAGGTGAGGGGACAGAGAGCCCTTTTGGTCCTTGATCAAGGCCCTGCCACTAATTGGTATTATAGTATAGGGAGAAGGAGACATGGAGCTGACTGGGTCCACCACATCTCTCTTTTCACGCCATCTGCCACCACAACATGCAGGGAGCTGGAGGGGTTGGGACTGGGGCGAGGATGCAGGCCTCTAAAGTCTCCTCAGCCATTTCGTTAGCCATGATTTGTGGCAAGACAAAGTGCCATGCAGGTCATAGACAGGCCTGGTGGTGACTGTTTATAACCTGAATAGTTTGAAAGAGATTGCCAAGACACAAGCGCAGTTCGGCAGGAGAGTGATATAGCAGAGCTCTTTTGACTATTACATTTCCAGAGTATTCAAAACAGAAACATGTGCCCTGACATATCTCACAAGCCCTATGATACTACTCACAATCTTTAACACCAGTGGACCAAATTAAGAAATGCCCCTGTGCCTTTTTTTCTAGCTAATAGGCTGCATAATCGGACGCCAAGGGACCAAAATCAATGAAATTAGACAGATGTCTGGAGCACAGATCAAAATCGCCAATGCCACAGAAGGTTCATCAGAACGCCAAATTACCATCACAGGAACCCCAGCTAACATCAGCCTTGCTCAGTACCTCATCAATGCCAGGTGAGAGCTGCTTACTAAGGTTTCCTAAGTACCTCCCTCACCCCACTTTCATAACCCAAGATATAAATAAAGTGGCCATTTGGACCACAATACAAACATCTCTGATGCCAACATGTACTCTTTGCTCTACATGGCAGCAAGAAGTGAGATCATCCATCAATCTAGTTTTGGGGGATTCAGTGAACAATTATGTTGACAGTTCCCATTATTCTATTAATCTGGTAATGATAGCTGTAAACGATTAAAAAAAATCCAACTATTTTCTCAGTACAGATATCTCTTTTCATAACTTACAAATTAGTTTGGCTATGTCAGAATCTCTCTTAACTCAGCCAGTGTGGTGTATTGGTTAAGAGCGGTAGACTCGTAATCTGGGGAACCGGGTTCGCGTCTCCGCTCCTCCACATGCAGCTGCTGGGTGACCTTGGGCCAGTCACACTTCTTTGAAGTCTCTCAGCCCCACTCACCTCACAGAGTGTTTGTTGTGGGGGAGGAAGGGAAAGGAGAATGTGAGCTGCTTTGAGACTCCTTCAGGTAGTGATAAAGCGGGATATCAAATCCAAACTCCTACTCCTCCTCATTCAAAGGGTGTAATTCAATGTCACAATTCTTCCGTCTGGAAAAGCATTTCCGCTTGCCAGAAGGAAGAACCCCACCTTTCCTCCCCCTGCATGCTGTTCTGGGGTTTCCTAACTCCCAAGCCAATTTGGGGGGTGCAGGGGGAAGCCCCATTGCACAAGTGAAAGTCCTTTCACAGGGCTTATGCTGAAAGGGTTCGTTAGGTGAATCCCACCCAAAGAGATGCATAATTTATTTTGCAATATTATCGCTTGTTTTGATCCTAGAAAATGAATTGCATTGGCATTTCCTGTATATATTTTTTATCTTATCGGGCACTTTTCTGAATAAGGGCAAATAAGGAGAATGATAATAGGTTGGTCATTCCATCTTAATCAGACTTTTAAAAATTATCCTATCTGCTGTTTGAAATAATAGGATGTGTTTTAATAGCGGCCAAACTGGTATGGATGAAACAGGAAATGTGTGGGTGGCACAGCTGCACAGGAAGGATCATCGAGTTGGAAGGGACACTGATGGTCATCTCTTCCAACCCCCTGCAATGCAGGAATCTCAACTAGATCATACATTCCTCCTCTGCTTAAAAGCTTCCAGTGAAGTTGAGTCCACCATCTTATGAGGGAGTCTATTCCAATGTTGAACAGCTGTTTCCGTCAGAAAGTTATTCCTGAAGTTTACTCAGAATCTCCTTTTTTGTAATTTGAAGCTCTGGGTTGTACCTTCTGGAGCAAGAGAAAACAAGCTGGCTCCTTCTTCCATGTGACAGCCTTTGAGATTTTTGAAGATGGCTATCCTATCTCCTCTCAGTCTCTTTTCCAGGCTAATGACCGCTCCCCGCTTAAAACGGGGGGCGCCCTTTGCGTGGACGCGCGCAGCCCTAGATCTGGAGCGGCCCCATCAGCATAGGCTTGGCTTTGCCTTCCCTCAGGTGGGATACCTGGAGGTCCCCGCCTACCTCAGTCAGTTGTCCAATCCCACCTGGGGGAAGCGTTGCCAAGGAGACCAGGCCAGGTAGGGGGAGGGATTAGCTGCCCACACAATAGAGGGAGGATCTTACCTGGGAATCCTCGCTTGGCTCCAGAGCTTCTCCCACCCTACCCGCCCTCAGTTAATGTCTTCCTTTGCAGGTTAACTTTTCTTCATAGGTTTTCCAGGTTAACTTTTCTTCACAGGTATGCGGGCACTGCTACGATAAGGTCGCTGTTAAAGGGCCGGAAAGGAATTTCCCTGCATTGGCAGGTTTCGCCTTTCCCGTAGCAAAACGTCACAACTTTGGCGGTATCAGGCCTTGGGTGGAATCCTTTAGTCCATCTTCCTCTTTGTGGCGGCGATACCAGGGTTCCCCGTTAAAGGGGTTTCTGAAGGGAGTCTTTGACCGTACGCCGAAAGGTCGTCATTGCTCTCCCCTGTGGCGGCGGCGTAACGGGGGCGGCTATCTCTGCTTGAACATATGTTCTCCAGAGCCGGCCCATCCCCCCCCCCCACAAACACTGGATAACCCTGATGCTCCCTAGTTCCCCAGCTGAGGACTGGGGAGGGAGAACGTCCAATGCCTGAGCCAAGGTCTACCCACATTTGAAATTTAATAAAGTTGTGGCCAATTTAATCCCATAGCACGTTGTCTTGAGTCGTTATTCCACATGACGGGGGGACCGCTCGGGATCTGGGGACTCCGCCTGTCCACGCAAACATACCCAGCTCCTTCAAGTGCTCCTTGTAAGGCTTAGTTTCCAGACCCTTGATCATCTTGGTTGCCCTCCCCTGCACTCGCTCCAGCCTGTCAACATCCTTCTTAAATTGTGGTGCTCAGAATTGGACACAGTATTCCAGGCGTGGTCTGATGTGGCAGAATAGAGTGATACTATTACTTCCCTTGACTGGGACACTAGACTTCTGTTGATGCAGCCGAGAATAGCATTAGCTCTTTTTGCTTCTGCATCACACTGTCGACTCATGTTAGATCCTTTTCACATGTTCTGCTAGTAAGCCAGGTGTCTTATATTTGTGCGTCTGGTTCCTCCTGCCTAAGTGCAGAACCTTATATTTGTCCCTATTGAAATTCACTTTCTTAGTTTGGACTTATTTCTCCAATCTGTTAAGGTCATCTTGCATCCCAATTCTGTCTTCTGCGGCATTGGCCTCCCCTCCCAGGGTTGGTGTCATCCATAGGCGCCGACTCCATGGGGCTTGAGGGGGCCCGAGCCCCCTCAAAAATTCGTTTGGGGGGGCTCCGCCCCCCCAATAATCTCCGGCGCCCCTCCAGCAGAGCGCCATCGCCGCCCCTCCCCCAGCCCAAAATGCACAGGGAGGGGCGGGCTGCATGCCTCCTGCCCTCCCTCCCGAGCAAAAGCTCCACCCAATTTCCTTTGGAGCTGATTAATAGGCGCAGCACGCTCTCCCCTATTCGCTCACGAGGAGGCGGCGCCACTTTATTTGCATATTCATGAGCTTATTTATTATTCATGAGCTTTCCCGGGCCCCCCCAATATTTTTTATAAGTCCGCGTCCCTGGTGTCATCTGAAAATTTGCTGAGAATCCCCTCGATTCCTCCATCCATGTCATTTATAAAGATGTCATACATGCCTGCCTGCTCAGTATCCTACCAGGCGAATGGAAACCAATTTCACCACAAGAAACATATGTACTCTTGTAAACAATCAAATGTCACTTGGGTGAGGAGAGCTGACCTGTCTCCTCTTGGGTCAGGGTTGCTGACCAACTCAGGAGCAGGGGGCAAGGGTGGAGTATTCTGGGAAAGGGCCTGGCTGGCTGGCTGGAGTGCTGAAGGTGAGCCCTCCATACAGCAACGTTTCCTTCTTTTTGTCTTCTTTTAAATATACTAACTGTAGTTGTGTTTAAATTAGATCAGATGCTATTTTTTAAGAGAAAAGGATGAGTGTGACAAAATCCATGGTATTGCAAGGCAACATGAATGTAAATTAGCTTGTCAGAATCATTAGCAAGCTCTTTTCCATGTTTGAATTGATGTGAACAGGGGACCTAAGGAGTATAGCATGAAGTCCTCAATGTCTATGTTTATCATAAACTTTAAGCGATTCCCCACTTTTTCCCCCATTTATTTTTTACAATTATTTATTCTAGGCTGACGTCTGAGGTCACTGGAATGGGCGCACTCTAATTTCTGCCAATCACACATCATTCTGCATCACATGACCCTCTCTAGCCAATGACGCTTCTTCACCCAGCTTCTACAATGCGTATACTTACGGCTTCACACACACCCCTCTTCTCCTTGGAAACTTTTCTTTAATAACAAATATATGTATATAAATATATATATATATCTATATATATGTATGTATGTATGTATGTGTGCACATACTAATAAGTTGCTTTATAAGTTGCATTTTGTGATTTTGATTTTGTTCCTGAATTTTAAATTTATGCTCCAGGCCAGTCTGTGTTTCAGCTGTACAGTGCTAACTATTTTATATAGGTTTTGCCTGGGATTTCCCTTGGTAAGACTTTGGAAGAAGATTGGTCTCGCTAGTCTTTATTTAGCTCAGTTTAGCTAAGATGGTTTTTTTAATTTTACTCTTTTTTTGCAGCACCTGTAGTAGGGCTGAGATCTGGCCTAATCTAGAGCAGTGGTTGCTTTGAAATAGCTGTTTCTTTTAATTATTCAATTATTCCTTCCATCTTTGAACCCTGATTGTCCTTGGCTCATCCTTAAAATGTTTGGATCTGTGTCCTAAGAATGTGGCATGACTTTCTCCCATTTCATGTTGGAAGTGGAACAGGCAGGGGCCCAAGAGTATCAACCGGGTTCTCGTGGGTTCCTGCAAGAACTGGGCTGCTTCCAGTGAGGCACAGCCAAAGCAAAGCAAGCCATTTTCGTTACCAAGCAGAGAACAAGGTGAGGAAAATATTCCTTTAAATATAGAATTATTTCATAGAAATGGAGACAAATAAAAAAAATTTAACGCGGCAGGAACTGCTGAAAATATCCTTAAGAGAATCACCCACAGACTTTTGGACTTAGCTCAGGAAGCTCCAGCCTCTGGGAGCCCGCTGTGTTTGCCATTGTTTGTATTTAATAAAAGTCTGTGCAGCTCTGCTAGTAACAAGCTCTGCCTTTGGTCTTTGTGTGCTCCTTCTTGGTTTTCCTTGACAGGCTCTTTGTCCCACCTGCCTCCTTCCTCTTCCATGCTTCTGTTTGATCAGATTGGATCCAATAAGCATATATTTAGTGATGGTTGATTTTTTTTGTTTTGATCCTCCCTTTTAAGCTCTGCTGGAAACTCTGAGACACGGGTGGGGCTGTGGGTTAAACCACAGAGCCTAGGACTTGCCGATCAGAAGGTCAGCGGTTCAAATCCCCGCGACGGGGTGAGCTCCCCTTCCTCGGTCCCTGCTCCTGCCAACCTAGCAGTTCAAAAGCATGTCAAAGTGCAAGTAGATAAATAGGTACCGCTCCAGCGGGAAGGTAAACGGCGTTTCCATGCGCTGCTCTGGTTCGCCAGAAGCGGCTTAGTCATGCTGGCCACATGACCCGGAAGCTGTCGCCGGCTCCCTCGGCCAATAAAGCGAGATGAGCGCTGCAACCCCAGAGTCGGTCACGACTGGACCTAACGGTCAGGGGTCCCTTTACCTTTACCTTTACCTTTAGAAACTCTGAGCATCTTGAAAGGCAAACCTCTGGGAACAAACCATTCTGAAAAACAAGAAGGCAAAACATGAATGATGAGAATTTTCCAGGTCCTCTGACGGTGATGACTCTACCGCCACCCCCTGAAGGCTGGGGGAGGGGAGGAAAAGGGAGATGGGGAGGGGGGCAGAGGAGAAAGAGGAGGGGAGCTTCAAGTGTAGTTCTCAGGAAGCGGCATGCTCCTTGTGGGCCTCTGGATCTGCCACCCCTCCCAGCTTTTCTGAGCCCACTGCCTCAGTGCTTCATGGGCCCTGGAATTTACTAGAACAGGATATAGCACAACCAGTTCACACTCCTTTCTCAGCACCTGGGAAATGTGGGGTGAAACCAGCATATGCTAACTTCTGCTCTCATTGACCAGTACTGAGACAATTAGGTGGAGCCCCCAGCCCTGGATTCCTCATCCACAGCAGGGTGTACTTCTGCCAGCCCATAATCTCCTGAATTGTTCTCCTCCCATAATCCCAGTTGGATGCCTATAAGAAACCAAGTGGGAGGTTGGTGGCATTTTTAAAAAAAGCAGCAAATAGTTATCTCTGAAAATGCCAAAAACACCCCCCAAAGCCATGGTATTTTCACATTCATAAAACTCTACAGATTGTAGTAAATTGCCAAATACCAGTTGATTACAAGTGCAATAAATGGTAGAGAGCAATTCAAACATCTCTTGTTACACAACAATAAGTAGTGATTCCTCACAAAGGGACAGCACAGCACATGCCTCGTTTATATTCTACATTTGAATGTAACGTTTTCATTTATAGTAATTAAATGTGGTAAGGAATTTTCACTTGCAAAGAAAGCTGTCCAAATGTTGGAAAATTAAGGTCAATCTACTCTTTTTCTAATAAACACTATAAAACCCTTTTATGACAAATAGTTATGACGGTCTGTAGAGACAGATGGTTTTTACAGTGGTCTTTAACAACCTTATGGAGACAATGTCAAGTAGCAGAAGTCCACAATCGCCGTGTTGGATCTACTAGGACTTGTACAACATTATGGTTTTGGCAAATTTGAGAAAACTTGAGGTGGCTAAAATCCTTTGCGCTAGACCTTAAGTCTATGGTTCTATGCAGTTTTTACAACATGATGCCTGAAAAGGACATTTCCCAACAATAACTGAACAAAGCAAACTGCGTGCTAAAAGACCACATCAAAGACACTGAAGAAACAAGAGTGAGTTTACTTCTACAATTTATTATGGGAATAAAATGAGGTAAAGAATCTAAGACAAGGAGACAGCATATCATGGGAGTGGAGGGTGGGAATCATGCATGGTACTAAGACTTGCTATTGGATTCAACTTGGGTAGAAATCCTGTGTCAGCAGAACAGACAGACAAGAATACCTTTAGCAGCAAGCATGATATGAGCAGAGAAAGGCAGCCCATTATACATTGTTGCACTTATAATTGCATTTTTGTCTAGAGGGAAAAGGCTGTGAAGCAATGCTAGGAAGCAGTGTTATAACATTAACAGGCAATGGCCAGCTAAAACAACCAGTACTTTGGGTTCTTAGAACTGCATGTGAAGTTAAGTGTGTAGACAGCAATTATTGCTCATCTGTCTGGCATCAGAAAACAGCCAGTTACAGTGGTGCCTCGCAAGACGAAATTAATTCGTTCCGCGAGTTTTGTCGTCTTGCGATTTTTTTCGTCTTGCGAAGCACGGTGTCGGGAAAGTTTTGGAAAAGCTTCAAAAACCTCAAAAAGCTTTAAAAACCTCAAAAAAGGCTACCACACCACGTTCTATGAGTTGCTCCTCGAAGTCAAGTCGCAACTGTATTAACGGTGTTAAGAAAAAGGAAACAAACTTGCAAGACGTTTCCGTCTTGCGAAGCAAGCCCATAGGGAAAATCGTCTTGCGAAGCAGCTCAAAAAACAAAAAACCCTTTCGTCTAGCGAGTTTTCCGTCTTGCGAGCCATTCGTCTTGCGAGGTACCACTGTAATCTGATGTTCTGCTACTTCTGTAAATATATGCTAAAATGTTACCCATGGGCTGCCAAATTGTTGGAAAACCAGGAGATACGTGCTGTAGAGTTTCTGATCTAGATTACGGTAAGTCCCTTTGACATGTGTTACATTGTGCACAGGGAACCAGAAGGGATAATAGCCCATAAAGCAGAACTTGAATGCAGACAGAATGACACCGATTCTTTAATACCAGTAATTCTAGATGAATACCCTATGGAGATGGTTGTCTGCTATCCAGCTAGATTTGTTTTGGAATCACTGTTGCAACGTAATGCATATTAACTGACTGGGGTGGGGTGGAGAACGTGATAAATACCTGGGAGGCTCTCTGCACATTGATTTATGCTACATCTTTCTCAATGCCAAAATACTGTCTGCTGTTTGTGAGGGATGAGCATGGAATTTAACATGGAGCTATAGAAAAAGTAAACAGTATTTTGTGTAATGGATAATACGAAGCACACAGGCAGCATTTACTTCCCGTAATTGCCAGGGGAACTAAAACAGAGTGAAGTTCATTTGGGGCAGAACTGTGAACGATTTCTAGCTCCTCTTCGTGTTCATTCCCTCCCACACTCCCCCAGCAGGTGGACTGGACTCTTGCATTAAAAAAAACAACAACAGTAAGTCAATTGGACATCTATAATGAAAGTTAGAAAGCAAAACAGGGCAGCAACATTTTTAGGCATATTATGCAGACATGGAGGAACTGCTGTTTCTGTGGATGGTTTATGACTTAATCACTGCTGCTAAGCAATCAGAAAGACGGCAAGGCAGGCATTTCCTGTATCTTTGCTGCTGAAGAGACTCGCTCTTTTCCGAGAGGAGCAGCTTGCAGTGAGAAATATATGAACAGGAACAAAGAGAAGGGTGCCTTGTGCCTTTAACCACTATGTGGCAAGCAGAAATTAAGCAGGGTAAGCCTTTTCTACAGGGACGCGGGTGGCGCTGAGGGTAAAACCTCAGCGCCTAGGGCTTGCCGATCGCATGGTCGGTTGTTCGAATCCCCGTGGCGGGGTGCGCTCCCGCTGCTCGGTCCCAGCGCCTGCCAACCTAGCAGTTCGAAAGCACCCCCGGGTGCAAGTAGATAAATAGGGACCGCTTACCAGTGGGAAGGTAAACGGCGTTCCGTGTGCTGCACTGGCTCGCCAGATGCAGCTTGTCACGCTGGCCACGTGACACGGAAGTGTCTTCAGACAGCGCTGGCCCCCGGCCTCTAGAGTGAGATGAGCGCACAACCCTAGAGTCTGTCAAGACTGGCCCGTACGGGCAGGGGTACCTTTAGCTTTACCTTTAAGCCTTTTCTAGTAAGGAAATACATTAGGAAGAAAGCTTCACCTGTTGACACTTGTGGACTATTTACTTTTGGATCATATCTATCAGCATAGCAGCTTAAATTGTCATGCTGAATGCTGAAAGAAATCACAGAGGATAGGTTTTTTTTATGAACAAAGAGTTCGTTTGGATGAAATTGAACCAGAGTGAGTTCCTTTTTTAAAATAAACTTTCCAAGCACTGGTTATTTCCATATTTATTATCAAAGTTTATTTCAGACCAGAATTTAACCTAAGAGCAGCTGCCCACATGCTAGAACTCTGGAACAATTACAGAAGACAAATCCCCAGTTGTTTTCATCCTTGGCAGAATACCTGCCTGAATAAAAACATATTTCATTGTCTCTGGAAAGCACACGGACCTGAACTGCAGCAGACTTTTTCTTTTGGAGGAGCACCCAGCAAGGCTATCTCACTATGTGCCCTAACCGTTTGTAAAGTGTTGGACTTGGATGTTTCTACACCTGAACCAAACATAACATTGTTATCTCTGTCACTTCTGATTGTTTAAATGATGCATAAAGATTATGATGAGAAGGGAGTAAATACACTCATGATTAAAACTCAAGAGCCTGTGATGATTACCAAGCCAGAAGAGGCTAGAATTATGGGTAGCTTGGTTTTTATGTAAGACTTGAATATTAAAGTCTGATGTGAGTAGGTGTCTGATCTGTGCAAAGTTTATTGTAAATTTGTGTAAGCGTTTTAAGCAAGCCATTCTGGCCACCTCATACACCACCCTATGTGGACTGCTGTGTGTCCTTTCTAGAGCTAACAGTTCTGGATAAATAACGCAGGAAGCTCAGCACTGGCCTGGGAACATTAGTTCTGTTATTGGAATGCTCTGAAAATTAAAAGCAAGTGTCTGCTTCAGCATCTGCAAGTGGCAGGGTTCCTATGGCTTGTAAGTTTGCCAGAGGCCTGAAAGCCAGAGCAACTCTCTGTCCCCAGAATGATGCTCTTGCCAAAAGTGCAGTTGCTGACACTGGACCCCTGAAGGTACCAATGCTGAGAATTCATACAAGGACAAATGTGCCCTGTGAATACTTAGGACCATTCTCAACAGCTGCATGATTTATTTTCTAACTA